GGTGAAGCTGAACGACGTTGTTGGGAGAAAGTAGGTGAATGAGGGACAAACGAATGGAATGTTGGATTACTATAGGATCAACTAGGGTAATTAAATTTTAACCCACTACTCATCAAATCAGGATGATACAAAATGGTCGAATAAGCGCCGCAGCTTTATTAATTTTCATATCGGTGAAATATCAAATAACGATTTAAATACTTTCGATTACTAAACTGTTATTTCAGTTTGATGGAAAAACATTTGAGCGTCTACCAGCTACGTATTTAAATAACATGGATAACAAAATCAATGAAGTGCTAAGGTATGTGATTTTTTATGTGCAATAAAATACAGGCGGTCAGGCACGTTTCTACAACCCTTAATTTGTCTTCTGAGAGTCAATATTGATTATTCCATTGCATTTTAATCTGTTAAAAAACAATTAAGAAAAAAGTACAAAACAACGACAGTTCGATGCAGTGCAAAACTACGAATGTACAATGTACATATATCTGGGGCTGGTCGCACTAAGCCTGGATAGCTTTATCCAATGGATAGCAAATGTTTCTGAACGTTCACAAAATATCTTCGAGGAGAAATATATACGATTTGAACTGTGCAATCACGGAAATAAACTATTGTATCGAAAATTACAAAATTGCTTTGTCATAAGAAAAATATAAACACCTTTTTTACAAGTTTGAAAATTTTCGCTATCCAGGCTTCGTGCAACCGGCCCCCGTAGTTTTCTAACGACATTTCAATCACCAAATTCTTGACTGACGTCACTATTAAGCAAAAGTAACTGAAAATGTGATATTACCACAATGTGAATTTTAATGGTGAAGTCTGGTAATTGTTACCTTTGACGCAAAAACTCAATGTTTACTTTCTCAACAGACCTGTACTAACACAGATGTAGACAGATAGTTGCACTTTAAAACGAAGCTTTCGTAAGCACAATGAGTGCGCTGGAAAAAATCTTCTTAACGACAGAACTCGAAGACTTCCACTCATTCACGTGATCTGTGAAGCTATTTCAGTCTTGGGAAAGCTTAGCTGAGAATGTATTTCACGAATGTAGCAAAAACGAACGTTACCAGTGAACACCAAAAAAGAGCTTCTGCTTTCTTTGAACACAAACGACAAATATATACGTACATGGTTTTCATCACCTATTTTCTTTTTCGTTTTTAAATTGGTCCCTACGTATTGTTCCAAGTTCATATAAAAAAGTTGATTTTGTAGTTGTGTTGACGTCGCTAACCACTATTCTGTCAAAAGTACAATTTTCAAGCTACATTTTATGGTATTATATTATACATTTTATAATTTTCCGTGTCTCCAGTCTCACGACGAGGAGAGCTTTTGAAAGCCAATCGAGTCCTTCGTAAAGACCGGTTCCATCTGTTGCCACACAAGTTTGAATATACCACTAAATTAAAGAAACGAATGGACATGAAAGAGAAGATGGAAGTTGCAATATATATATATATATATATATATATATATTACGGATAATAATCCTGGATAAAAAAACGCTCAATATTCTATATATTAGAAGAGCGTAATATGATTTTCCGTATAAAACAGTGCTCGATGCCCGAGAGCAGAGCGTGAGCAATCACGAAACAGGCTTGTCGAGATGAATCTGTAGTTTTGTGATTTTTCTCAACACCACTACACATATATATATATATATATGTTTAAAGATTGGTAATCCAGGCATTACATTATATAAACAGACATATCGACATACCCATCATATATTCACAACTAATGAAAAAGGACAAAAAAACAACAAACAACACCAAAACTACATTATTACACTCTAATAACATTAACACCGATCATATTCACAATACACCAAAACCCATGGCAACGCATTTCACCCCATCCAATCACATGATTCCACCCGCTAATCCAATTAGACGCTCTAAGCGTCTACAAGCTAAAAGCAAGTGTAAATAGATAATTTCCTCATTCTGATGAATGCTCGAAGCAACGAGTCGAAAGCTCAATAAAAATCATATAACATATACATTAATGTCTTTTAAATGGAATGGCGACTGCTGGCTCAAAGGGAATAGTGAGGGTAGGGGTAGGTGTGCAGTAAGATTATTTGGGCGGGGGGCTAGAATAAAACAGTGTCTGCTTTATTTTTTCTGAGTCAAAGTCCGTGAAATTCAGATTTTGTGCGACATTTTACCGAGCAAGTTAAATATCAAACTTAATATGCCATAGATGGGCAATAATCTTAATACGAACAAAGGGAATGAAGCTATATTTAAAGTATGGATAAGAATTATGAAAACCTAAAAACAATTCAGTTCGTTTTAAGTGCAGCTGCATAAAAATTAATTAAGAAATTGCTCGCTATCTATGACGACCGACGTGTTTTAAAAATAAGACGTCGAAATTTTATAACTATTTTCAACAAAGTATTCGGCGCTAATTTGTACATGCAAACGCTTACAAACATCAACAATAATTCATGTGGAAAGGCACATTCAATTCCGTGGGATAGTTTTAAGAGATAAAAAATTTTCACAATGCCATACATTAATGTTCATCCACTGTGTTTATCCCAAAGCCATCATCCAAAGAAACAGAATATGAATTCTAATGAGAACGGTTATTGCGACGTTCAATATTTTTGTATAACGTTCACTTATATTGAAACGAATATTAGTATCGAACGCTTGTACGACAAATCTTTCATCTTAAAAGCAAGCTGAATTTTGCTACCGACTAACAAAAGATAAATATTGTACGCACAAATAGCATTACAAGGATTAGGAAGCTAATGTATTCTTCAAGACAATGCAAAAAACAAGCGCAGTGCAGGCACTTACGTGTCGTTTGACTTGGTGAAGATTCAGTTTCTCAGTAAGATCCGATGCGCTCATCGCGTTCGGTAGATCTTGTTTGTTTGCAAACACCAATAACACAGCATCCTTCAGTTCATCTTCTTCCAACTAAAAAGATAAATATATTGACGACAAAACTCAAGGATAACATTGAGCACTGTGACAAATACATCTTGATTTCAAAGATGCCTGGGGCTAAGAAATTACAAAATCATTTTAAATCGCAAAGCTTGAATAAAAATGACAATTTAATGATTGAAAAGCAGCAAGGCAGCAGCCTTCCCTCCAATGGTTTTCATGTCAGAAAATGTCTCAAGCAAGATGAAAACATGGGCGAAATATACACAATTACAGTGTGCGTATTTTAAAAATAAAAATGAGCAATATTGATTGCGGAGGAAAAACATATGTTCTTGAACATCCAAATTCACACAACAACAAAGGACATGCCCAATTTGAATGTGAATTTCACAGTTAAAACATTCTTCCTTTACATATGTACAGCAAACATGTAGATTGCAATTTTAAAAAAATGGCTAATGGCAGCCATAAAATAGTAATGCTTAAATTATCTTTAAAAGCACACCATGGTTAGGGATTCAAACACAAGATATTTAGTTTTATGGTTATAGTTCTGACATAACTATTCAAGTGTTAAAAACTTAAATAAACACTTTTGAAATCTTACCCCTATTCCCAACCGAAGTTTATTTTTATATCTTATTGCTTTGGTTCACAAAAACATTGAAAGAGAAAATTGATTTCGAGAAAGAAAATATATTTATCATTTTGGACAAAATATGAAAAGACTTGACTGCATTCAAACTCACTACATGCATCTCATAGTCTTGACAGTAACACTTGCCACTCAGCTACTGGAGTGTTTAGAATAAATCAGCAAACCGTACATAATTTTATATCATAGTCCACATATGTAAATATGATCATAAGAACTATAAACATTAAAGCTAATGATCTGGTGTCCAATCCCAAACCACATCACTTAAACACATTTCAAAAAAATACCATTCTTTGCAGTTCCTCGGCTGACTCATTTATCCTTTCACGATCATTGCTATCAACTACGTAGATTAGACCCTAAAAACCATTAAAATAAAAACATTACAAGCTCCTCATTTTCGACATCATCGGGTTAGCTTTCAAAATGTGGTGCACCTGTGTATTAGAAAAATAATGCCTCCACAAGGGACGGATTTTATCTTGTCCACCAACATCCCACACGGTAAAACTGATATTTTTGTATTCTACAGTTTCCACATTGAAACCTAAATAACAGTGTCATATTCAAAAATTTAAGACAAAAATCAAGAAAAACACCATTAAAAGATTAAATGAATGTGCGAGAACATAATCAAAAGAGCTCATTCAAAGAGCTTGTGGTTGGAGTGAAAAATAAAAAATAGTAAGTAAACCGAGTTCACTTACCAATTGTAGGAATTGTTGTAACAATTTCTCCTAATTTCAGTTTATATAAAATAGTTGTTTTTCCAGCAGCATCAAGACCAACTAGAAACAAGAAAGAAACTTAAAATCAATGGTGAGCTTTAAGGGGAGATACTATATCACGAAAAAATCCTGTAGGATTATCCAATCCGCATGCAGATTATCTCAAATGAACGGAATTTAACCTTAACATGTGCTTTGAGAAAAGCCATAAATTGCTACACCTGGTCTTGCATGTGCTCCTCTTCAAGCACAGGTGGAATTTATGTATACTAACAGGATTATTTTGGAAATTCTTCAATCAACAGGGGGGGAGTGACAACTTGGCATTGTTGAAATAGAAAAAATTTTGAGCAAAACTGTGATTTGTTAAATAGAAAATCTTGCACTAAACTATCATCGCCATGATATTTTTGGATATCCAATTTTAAGAAGACGCCCTGGCGTTACAAGGCACTTTTCTATGGGAATATGGCTTCCAGGTCACCGTCTAATACAGAACTTGCCTTCATAGGCTTCATTCTTACCCATCAAAATCCGACTTTGTTTCTGCCCAAACAGGTTGTTGAAAAGATTTGAAAACGTCAGTCCCATAGCTCTCTACTTTCTCTCGGATAGACACAGACAACACTCGCGCATTGGCAGAAAATTCAAACAAATTTTAATAAACAATGAATATGCTTCGGCCACGTCAAGAACCAAGTCACTGAAGTCAGCTTTGTGTCAGTCACGTGACAAAATCCACCGCGACAAGCCAGCGGTTGGTTAGACAGATATCACATACTTTATGTAAAGTGGACGAAAGAAAATATTCATAAAACCAATTTGATTCCGAAACCTCAGTTTGGCTAAACGTAAAATATGCTTTTACAACAATCTGGATTTTGAGTAAAATCTGTTTATATCTTTTAATGGGCATTATTTTAATTAACCAACATATTGTATTTTTTAAACACCGTTGTCTTGGCAACCATAATCCATTTTTATTTACACTTATTTTAAAGGTTGCAAGTTCGAAGTGTCAACCGTAAAAAGGACACCTGTTTATACTTGACTATTTCACGAGAAATTTCCACAAGCTTTGCGCTCGGGCTTTGTGAAGTAAATTTGCTATGAGCAAAGTAAACGACCAAACGAATTTCCCACAGAGCGAAACACGCTTGCCGATCAAACAGAACGCCGCCGCCATCGAATCAACAAATGAAACGTCGAACGACACAAAGGGAACGAAAACGACACCTCAGAAACGGTCCGATGCTTATCGTGTGGCGTTTTACGGAAGTCAGAAGGAAAAAGAAGCATATAGGTCGTAAGGTTTAAAATAATGAACTTACTATTGCAGCTTTGTTCATAGTAATGGCAATGCCGCTCTAATTGCAATTTCCTCAATGAGAATTATAACAATAAACAAGTAGCATCAGCCAATAAGATTGCATGCATCTTTAAGAAAAGATGAACAACAGTATCTTAATGAGGAGTAATGCATCCACTTATAGTGAAAGCCCATTCTGAGTCGTTAGACTACTGTGTTCATGACATTTAATCCGATATCATCCAATGTAAAGAATTATTCTTTCCATTTTCCAATCAGTAGAGATCTGTGGTTTTCTTTCTGCATTAGTTGCGATCATATTTCGAAGCCAATGTACTTGAAGTACATCTCTAGTTCAGGAGTGATGTAGTGTCCAGTCCTTTTTTCTACCAACTTCGGTCTTCATAGGCGAATAACCATTTGAGTTACAAACTTGAGGTTCGTTTCAGTATACAAAGTTTCTTCATTTTTCTTAAGGCAAAACATAAGATCGCAGCTGAAGGAACAAGTAAGAGAAAAAGACGATCTACAACGTCAACATTTGATCGACAGGGTTGCCGAAAGCGACAAGGCTGTTGCTAGCGATCGCATGTCAAAACAGGAAGATGATGCCATGAGAAAGAAAAAAGCGGAATACCTCAAGCAATTTAGCAACGGCAATAAGAAGGTATGTTGAAGCGAAAGTGAAACAGTTTTTTGTCTTACATATCATACTCTTGTTAAAAGGATTCGCTCTATTTTTTATTCTGTCGACAATGTTGTCATGTTGCAAAGATCTTGTCACAAAGTGACAGATTTGTTTTCACTTACGTAGCCAGATCGCAAGTTTCAGTCCTACTGTGTACTTAATTTCAAAATTTCAGTCCTACTGTGTGCTAAATTTCAATACCTTAATTTATTCATTTTGTTAGAAATGTGTTGTTTTTGTAGTGAGTGAAGGAAGAAAAAATGAAATTGGAAATCACTGAGCCATGAAATGAAATTCTCACAAAGACTGTCTTTGAAAAACCATTGCGAGTATACAGCTCCATGGTTGTAAACATTTTAAGTTGAAATACTCAACTACAACTACATCCAAATAGTTTTCGTTGAATTATAGCTAAAATAATTAAGTTTTACTATTTTCATGACTTTTGACACTGAGTTACTTTGTCAAAGTGTTTTCTTCTGTGATCTTTTTATCCAAGAAGTCCAATCTTAATTTTTGTTCTTTCTGTTAGATAATGGAAGAAAAAGAAATCTCCTCACGTAGAGTGAAAGAAGCGGATGTAGAACTGGAAAGGAAGTTATTGAACATGAATCCAATCAATTGGAACATGACATTACATTAGCAAGATTATAGACGAGCTGCTAGACCAAGACATTTTACAACAATGTTTCATCAAAACGCTTTATATTCGTCTGCATTTCATTTTTCTAAAACAAATCTCAAGATGAACATAACCATCGATGAACACTGAATTCGATTCCTCTGTAAATATATAGTCATCCTTAGCTAACTACTATTACATAAAAATTATAAAATTATTAAGTGCACGAGAAATAATTTAACACATTTACTCAGTTTTTGTTACATAAACTCTGCACGCATTGAAAACTTATTTTTGATTAATAACAAAATGAAAGAGTCGCACTTATTTTTTTATTCAAACTGGCCTTTCTCAATGATCAATTGATTTTGGACAGTAGGGAATAGTTCGTGGTAGGACAGCGGCCCATAGTCTTACCTGCTGCGCATGTTATAATCTGCAGAAAAAATTAATTTCATAGGAACTTGAAATGCATAGAAAATGCATATATGAATATTTTTTTTACTATGAGACCAGCTTGCTCGTAAAATGAAAACACATATTTTTTTACAATAATTGCTAATGGCAAAAGTAAAATATCGTTTCTTTGCAGTTTAGTGGCAACATGAAGATATATGAAGTTATTACGTTTCGTACAAAAAAAGAACAATAGAAATTGCTAATTGATGTAATATTCAACAAAAAATTGATTGTTGACCAGGATATGGAACGATTCTAAAATAGTAATTTCGTTTTACTTAAACTGTAACTACTCAATTCATTACATTCAATTTTCTCGATTGGTTTGAATGTTTAATAAAAACGTTTTATATTTATTTCATAACACATTTTAAAACAGAGCTTAAGATTATTATAACCATCAATGGATACTGCATGGGCATTAGTTTTCTGTAAGGACGTAGCCATCTAGTTACTATTACATTGAAAGTATATGAAAATGATTAGGGGGAAAAATATCTATGTACACGTTGAATAACTCATCACTACAGTCGAGATAAGCAGTTACATGCAGGGCTGAAAGTAGAACTTTAATTCTAGGGGGGGAGGTAGTTATTCAAATATTCAGATGCGCGCCCAACTGCTTTCTTTTGAAAGCCAACTTTTGGGCACGACTGAATATATAAATATTTTATTGTATTCACCCCCTCCCCCCAATTAACATTCTAGTTACGGCGTTTTTTGTATGATATAGTAGCAAAAAAAGAATTTTTATATTTCATTTGAAAAAAAAGTGTATCAGGAAAAGAACTAAGCATATTTCATTTGGTATAAATAAAGCATAATCCAAAAAAGAACATTTTGTAAACTTAGATTCAAGTTATAACTAGGGGCTGATTGCGTGAGCCCGGGTAGCCGGGATTCAGCGAAGAGTTAAATGATTTTGGTAAATGGAAAGGATTCAGTACTTATCAATAGATAAATCTTTTTGAGCAATTTCAATGTATGCTGACTCTATAAATACGCTATACATTTAAAATGAAAATAACTAATTTGGCGTAATTTGACAATTTCAACAGAAATGACTTGTGGTGCTTAACAAACAATTGTAATTTTTACGCTTGAAGTTTTGTCTCCTTTCAATAAATTTCCTGAATCCGGGCTAGCCGAGATCATGTAAACAACCTCCAAGAATTGTAACATTTCGGTTTCATTTCAAAATCATCATCCGAATTGTAATGACACCAAGTTATTCGTAAATTTATGTTACGGAGACAACACATAGTTCGTTACACATATGGGTATATTAAAACATACGATCATTATTATTTGTTTGCTGTTCAGTGGCAACACATATTAAGATATTTCTAAAACGAAAGAAGAATTAAAATAAGTTATTTAATTAGTTAGGTGTTGTCCATGCATCGAATAACAAATTAATAGTTTCCAGCAAGAAATTATTCTTATAAGTTTCTATTATAAGAAAATGCTATCACTCAGTTTTTAGATTGCATTGCAAAGACAATTTAAAACGACTCAATTACTTTTTTATAAAATAGTATTGATTTTCATCTTTGTTCCTCATGGAAATATTATCATTATGACATTATTAGCTCTTGAAACTTGTACTTTTCCTCGACATTTTTCAGCAAGACGAGAAGCCTTTGCACTCTTATACACATATTTATATACACATGTATTCATCACAATGTATACTTATGGAGAAAACCAAGGCTTTATAAAATGTCATAATCCAATGTAATGTTATCGTGAAGATATTTGCATGATGAGCAAAGTTAAATATCTCTAGAAAGAGGTAAGCAAACACAAAATACTTTTAACATCGCTTACCAAACCTTCTTTTGAGATTTTTTTCTATGTTTTCCATTTTTTCTACTTTCACCTCTATGTTCGGTAGCACTCTTTAATAGAATGGAAAAAAGTGCCATATAGCTATCAAGGCAAATAACAAATAACATTTAATAAATACCCACCTTGCATGGTTTTAAAGTGCTGCTGTCCTTTCTTTCAATGTATTTGAGAAAATTATGTGAAAGATTACTCAGCTTATACTGAACCTTTAGCTTTTCGGCAATCCAGCGACCTACGTCTAATTCGTCACTAAGACCAACTTTTCGAAGCTTTGCTTTTCCCTCGTCTGAATTCAAAGTGGAATCGTTATCAAAAGCAAACACTGCTAGTTTGAAGTCACGTTGATGCCCGTTTTCTGATAATCCAATCTTCTTTTTTAACACCTTGAAAAAGGCATATTCTTTTTAAGTTAATTAATGACAATTACAAGATGTACGATAAAGTAGAATGACTAACAACAACCCATCTAACAAATGAAACTATCTTACTTCTAATTGAGAATCCACTCCAGCTTTTATTGTATCTATGTCATTTTCACAATTTTTCCCCATTAATTCGGCATAAAGTCTGTCAGCAAATGTAAGACAAACAAGAACAGGAACATTTTCTTTCTCGAGTGTAGAAAGCCATTGTTTTGTTGACTCAGTATGAGCTTTCCTAAAAGAGTAGTCGAAAACAATCCAATTCTTTTAAAAGTGAAAATTTATATTAAGCATTATAATCGAATAAAATTGATCAAATTAATCAAGAATTATAAAACGAATCACAAAATTTGGCTAGCTTAAAAGAAGTTTTTACCAAGAATTGAAGCAAGTCAAGAGACAAAAGCTAAAAAAATTTCTGATAATTTTAAATAAAATTTTACGTTTGTCATACCTGTAATCAACGACAAATACAACAATCCGAGTCAAACTTAACAATAATTTTGCCAACTCAGGAATTGTCTCATCACGATCATCCACACCAGGAAAATCAATGACATCTAAACCTTTAAAGTGCTTATCCAAGTTGTAAATCAACGGAACAGTGGTTCGCTTCTGATCTGTGGTACCAGTCACCGTCTGAGAAAACAACGTATTTAAAAATGAATTGCTATATTTCTATATAAAAAAGACATAAGCACATATTTCGTATACACATATCATTTTTTAAATCAAGTAAATTGCAGATAAAAAATGGCTTTTGGAAATGAGTAAAGTATCGAAAAAGAGGCAGTGGATTTATTTTTTTTAAAAAAAACTTTGAAACGAACACAATTTAATCGGAATGCATTTACAGAAATTTTTGTTTATCCTTACAGAAGTTTTAAATTGACTGTGTTTTAATCAAGCAAAAACTGATATATATATATATATATATATATTCACAATTTGTTTGCATAACTGCTTCCCATCGAGAACTCTCAAAAACGGGAGTAAAGAGGGCTTAATTTATTGGTCTCGTATTTCCCCATATAGCTACCTTGCCTACTCTGGAGGGACAGCGGAGCAACATAGGAATTGCGGGTGCTAAGTCTTCAATAATATATGTTTTACTACAATGTCTTACAGAACACTTTTAAATGATAACTTCAGCTCAAAAAATAAAAAGTGTAAATGTCTTTTTGTTTTTGAAATAAATATTTGATAAACGATAAAACAAGACAATTATAAAAATCAAACACAAACATTCAAATTGAGTACCACTGAACGTCACTTAATTGTCAATGAAAATCTTCATTTGTGGATTGGCCGAATATCTGCCGTCAATTGTCATTTAAGGATGGAAAGGAATTTGCATCAGAAATTAAACTCAATTTGGGCAATCTACCTTCGTGAGTGTTCAAAATGGCAAGATTGTTAAATCTTGCTTGTAGCATGTGTAAGCGTAGCCAAGTTTTTACTCTTCTTGCTGTTGTGAAAGATCTTTCATCCGTTGCACTCGTGGTAGGTACAACGTGAATCACTTCACACATTCTAATAACTTGGTCAATACGCTGTTGTTCATGTCGTTCAAGCTTCATTACTACAATCAAAATATCTTGAAAACATTTCTGCTCTATACGTCTTTCTTAAGCACTCGAAAAGTGCATAACTAAGCAATTAGAGAGTTCACGTTCATATCTTTGTTAAATTTCAACGTTTGATCCTCTATTTTCTGGGAAATTTCTTCTGCTTTTGATGATTTTAGAAGGAGCATTTCCAAATTGGCATAAACTTTAAATTCAGGCTGATTAAAGCGATCCTTTATGGACGACATTAATTGATCCGCAGCTTCAAATTAAATTTTCCTGCAGTAATGTGATTGGTAATTCAGTTCAGCATCTCCCATTTCGTAGTGTGCAGGTGTGCGTCGCTTTCTTGGAACAATTGGTTCAGCAATAAAAGAATGCTCTTTTAACTTAACGAGAACTACATCGTAAGACCCATCAAATGACTCTTCATTTCTTATGCTTTGCAATGTTTCTCTTGTAGGACTTGCAAGACGCTGACCAGCTAGCTGCGGCTGAACGATTTGGAGATTGAAGGGTTTTTGAAAGATTATAGAATGACTAAAAAAACCTTTACTCGGATGAAAACCGAAAAATAAATTAAATGTTATTATTTCGCTACCTCTTCCTACTATACGAGCTTTAACGTCAGGATCAAATCTTTCTTCAAGGGAAACTTCCCATGCTTGAAAAAGTGAAGCATAGTTTAGCAGGATGCAATTGTAGCACGCCGCAGTTACAGTCTTTCTAGTTGGGCAAAATTTCAAAATACCGGCGTGTCTTCCTTCTTTAGAATTTTCGTCTTCTATGTTATGTTTCACACAATTGACAATAGGAATAATTCTACAACTCTCAAGATTGTAATGTCTCCTGCAGCACCCATAGTATCAGACAGCAGTTTACAGTTTTTCACCACACTTTTGACGCCCAACCTTAAAGAATGTGCATGACAATGAGTCACAAAAGCTTTAGGTTGCTGCGCTAAACTTTTCTGGGAAGCTCCTGAATTCTTTCCAAGCATATATTACCAGTTCCATCATAACATTGCCTTCTGCAGGTATTCATGGAAAGTTGTAGTCTTATCAAGGCGTCATTGATTGCACTTGTAATGGTTTCTGCTTTGATGTCTGGAATCTGGCAAAATCCAATGAAATCTTCATAGGCCCTGAGATTGTCATCGATCCATCAAAGACATAATGCTAGTTGTTCGCGTAAAAGTTCAAACCAAAAGGATTGAAAGCATCGACTTTGCTTTCTGTGTTCTTCTTTTAATGGAAACTCAAATTGTTTATGTTGGTTCAGTGTTGTAGAACTAAATTTATCAGATGGGGGGGGCTCTCTTGACGAAGCTGAAGCCATGAAATTATGAAAAATTACCCAATTCAAAGGTAGAAGAGGGGCTCCTTCCCAAGCACCCCACTTCTACAGCACTGGGTTAGCACTGCTATAGTGGCGAAAATCTCTCATCCATACGCAGTTTAAAAGAGATTTGACTCGTCTCCAATCCCTGTGGGCTTGGTAGCTCAATAGTAAGAGCGGCGGACTAGTACCCGAAGGTGCGAGTTCAAATCTCGTCCAAGTCACATGTTTTTCATGTGCATATTAAACCGTGTTAGGATTAAAATATTATATATATGCACTGGGTCGGTTAGGGCCATTTGGTACAATTATAGCTTATACCGAGTTTCCAGCTGGATCTTCCATTTCATTTGTTTTTTCATCAACTACATCGTAATGATCTTTATCTTCAGCGACAGTATTCCCGACTTTCAAATCTTCGGAAGACACAAAGACTCTACATTTTTTCTCATATTTTGTTTAGGTCTAATCAGGAAATAATCTGCTTTTTTCGGCGACATTTATACATTCTTTATAATAATGTTAAGCTAACTGCCGTGAAATCACTGACTTGCTGGCGCAGCTTTTATGACTGGGTAATACTTCTTGTTTTACTCAGTTATCACGATCGATTAGTGCGTTTATAAAAATGCAAAAACAAGCTAGTAATACTGATAAACATACTTTGCAGTAAATCTGACTTACTGGATGTATTTCAAAATAATGAAGCATATATATATATATTGATAACAAGAAGAAAATACACAAAAACTACAATTTCATCCCGACAAGCCTGTTTCGTGATTTCTCACTCTTCAGGGAATAATATTAAATGAATACAAAAGCATGTGCTAGATTATATATACAAGAGGAAGTTAGGGTAAAAATTAAGATAGAATTACATAATATGTTGAGTGTACGATTACAAATTGGATAAAAGTGCCTTGTGTCTATGGCGACAAGAGGAGATAAGTTCGTCACGTTTGTTGAGTGATGATAGTTGTGGTTGGTAGGTGATAAAGAATTTTTCTTTCAGGCATAGGTTGCATCTTTTGTTGGCGCTGTTGTACGGTTTGCTGCGAGTAATGATGCTCCATGGAGATATCGTGAGCGATGTTGTGGTCTTTTAGTGTCCATATGTGTTTGCTAAGTTCGGTGGAGTTTCTTAGTTTTTTGTGGCGGAAAGAGGCAGTGTGGTTCCTGTGTCGAGTCTTAAATTCGTTTTATGTAAGTCCGATGTAGGTCTCACTTGTGTTAGTGTCCAAACGTTTAACAGTTGCTTGGTAGATGACAGATGATTGTAGGCAGTTTCCGTTAAGTGGGCAGTTTTGTTTTTGTCGGCAATGCATGTTTTAGTTTGTGTATTTTTGTTATTGATGGTGTCATTAGTATTGTCAGGTTCTCTCAATATGCGTTTGTTATGGTTATTAATAATATGTTCCAAATGGTTCATGCAGCTGTAACTTAATTTAATTGTGTTGCGGTTAAATAGTTTTCTGAGTTTGTGGTCTATGGGAAAGTGCTTGTCAATTAGTGAAATGAATTTGTAGCCAATGTTTGTGCTGACGTTCTTGCTGTATGGTGGGTTGTACCAGAGTATGTTATTTCTAAGTCTGTATTTCCGTTTCGTAGTAGCGTTCGGGTCATATTTCAGTGTGTAATGATATCCATTTTCGTCAAGTGCTTTTGGTATGGAGGAATAGCTTGGTCGAATGATGCTCCGTCGGATGATAAGGATGAAAGGCGTTTGTTAATGGTATCAGTTATGTTCTTTGTAATGCTTGAAGGATGGTTGCTTTCGTGGTGGATGTATTGCAAAAAGGTGTTGGGCTTAGTGTAAGGTCGATGGGAAGAATTCTTTAGATTGAACGTGATGTCGAGGAAGTTAATGACTTTTTTGTTAGCTTTGATAAACGCAATCCGTTATTGTTAAACACGCGGCACATCTATTTTTTGATTTTTTCAGTTTCTTTAGGTGTTGCTTTAGTAATGGCTAGTCCGTCATCAAGTGGTTCAACTCCATCAAACACAAACAAAATCTCAACTTCTGCTGTGCGGGTGCAGATCCCTTTAAAATCTCAACTTCATATCTTTCGACATTGTAGACTTCTACCCGTCTATCAACCAAGACCTCTTAAACAAAGCACTTGATTTCGCCTCAACCCACGACAACATCACAAACCAAGAGAGAAACATCATCATACATGCCAAGAATTCATACCTCAACCAACAACCCTGGCAAAAGAAACACAACTCCACATTCGACGTGACAATAGGGAGTTTTAGCAAGAGTACGACTACGACTACGAGTACGAAATTTGACCGTGTAAGGGAATGGCACGAGGAAGTTTGTTGTCGTTGTCGCTTCGTCAAAATTTTGCTTTAGTTGTAAACAACAGAACGAGCCTTTTTATTGTGTAAAACACCGACGTTTGCGAAGCAGCTACGGCTCTATTTGACAATAATGATATCAAAGAATCGATAATACTGGTTTTGCGAGAATATAAGACTCTTTAGACTGAAAAATCTTCACTATTTTAAGTTTTATGTACGATATATTTGCACTATTTTATTGTTTGTTTACCTTTCACTTTGCGTACGAAATACATGAAAGTTTTGAAGGTCATATTTTCCTTTTTAATATACATCTGCGCTCAAAAAGAGTTCTAAATTAAAGCCTGGATGCTCGAAAATAGTACTGTAAACTAATTTCTTACAGAATGAAGAAATATACCTACTTTCTTTGCTTAAAAAGACATCGTAGTCGCGACTACGAATTTTTTACAAAACATCGTACTCAGATTGATGACGGCTACGTGTTTTTGTTGTCGCAACAATGTTTTCGCGCCAAAATGACGTAAATCGTACTCGTAGTCGTACTCGTAGGCTCTGCTAAAACTCCCTAATGGGCAGCTTCGACGGCGCCGAGACATGCGAACTCGTAGGAAGCTATCTCCTCTCACAACTACAACACATCATCACTAGCATAGGACTCTATCGCGACGACGGACTAGCCATTACTAAAGCAACACCTAAAGAAACTGAAAAAATCAAAAAATAGATGTGCCGCTTGTTTAACAATAACGGATTGCGTATCACTATCAAAGCTAACAAAAAAGTCATTAACTTCCTCGACATCATGTTCAATCTAAAGAATTCTTACCATCGACCTTTCACTAAGCCCAACACCTCTTTGCAATACATCCACCACGAAAGCAACCATCCTCCAAGCATTACAAAGAACATACCCGATACCATTAACAAACGCCTTTCTTCCTTATCATACGACGGAGCATCATTCGACCAAGCTATTCCTCCATACCAAAAGCCACTTGACGAAAATGGATATCATTACACACTGAAATATGGCCCGAACGCTACTACGAAACGGAAATACAGACTTAGAAATAACATACTCTGGTACAACCCACCATACAGCAAGAACGTCAGCACAAACGTTGGCTACAAATTCATTTCACTAATTGACAAGCACTTTCCCATAGACCACAAACTCAGAAAACTATTTGACTGCAACACAATTAAATTAAGTTACAGCTGCATGAAAAATATGTAACATATTATTAATAACCATAACAAACGCATATTGAGAGAACCTGACAATACTAATGACACCATCAATGACAAAAATACACAAACTAAAACATGCATTGCCGACAAAAACAAAACTGCCCACTTAACGGAAACTGCCTACAATCATCTGTCATCTACCAAGCAACTGTTAAACGTTTGGACACTAACACAAGTGAGACCTACATCGGACTTACAGAAAACGAATTTAAGACTCAACACAGGAACCACACTGCCTCTTTCCGCCACAAAAAACTAAGAAACTCCACCGAACTTAGCAAACACATATGGACACTAAAAGACAACAACATCGCTCACGATATCTCATGGAGCATCATTACTCACAGCAAACCGTACAACAGCGCCAACAAAAGATGCAACCTATGCCTGAAAGAAAAATTCTTTATCACCTACCAACCACAACTATCATCACTCAACAAACGTGACGAACTTATCTCCTCTTGTCGCATAGACACAAGGCACTTTTATCCAATTTGTAGTCGTACACTCAACATAATATGTAATTCTATCTTAATTTTTACCCTAACTTCCTCTTGTATATATAATCTAGCACATGCTTTTGTATTCATTTAATATTATCCCCTGAAGAGTGAGAAATCACGAAACAGGCTTGTCGGGATGAAATTGTAGTTTTTGTGTATTTTCTTCTTGTTATCAATATATATATAAATATATATGTGCATCACGTTAATTAAAAGAAACTATTGCAAAAAGCTCCGGCGTCCGCGTCCTTGAGTAGACATTGGCTAAAAACGAATTCCAGTTATTAGAGATAGTCTCATAAGAAACTTAAACGACAAAAAAAGTTACAAAAAAAAATATAATAGAAAATTTACTCAGCTTACGTTGATTTCAAACATGGAGTTGACAAACTTTGATTTTCCTGAATTGACTAACCCAATAACACCAACAGCTGTTTGCTTGGCTAAAGTTTCTCGAAGATTGTTTATCATCAGTGACCATCGGATCCATCGGGCGACCAGTCTACGATATTTTTTGATACTAACTTCAGAGTTTATCCCTCAAACTTAGTGTTCCATTGTTGTAGAATAATTTCAATGGGTGTGTGGTAATATATGTTTCTTTTACTGCATTGGTGCTCAAGTTGGCGTTCGAGAGGGTAACTAACGTAGTTCTTGTTCCATGCAATGCTTTTTTTCATGCTACCCAACAGAAAATGCAATTTCTCGTCGTAGTCAAAAAGCTCACGTTCATCGGTAGGAAACATATACTCACGAAAATCGTTAAGACGACGGGATAATTCAATAACAAGCTGTCCAAATTCTCCTGATGATCTTATCATTTGCTCCAAGTAGTTAAACGGTACAATCAGCAGTCCCCAGACAGACAATCCAAATGAATTAGCATATCTGGCAATTTCATTAACGTACTTATCGTTACCAGCATGCTCGAGAGGAATTTGTACCTGGGATTGCATGAAGGTGCCAAGCAAAGTGCTACAGGTCTCGAACTCATTAAGTAAACCATTCAAAACTTCTAGCATCCTGTTATTTAAGCTACAAGAAGATATTTCTGATGTTGCACATTGTTGTGGCTCGGCAGTCAATTCTTCGCATAATTGTAGGAGTTTATTTTTTCCATCATTCAGCAAAGTCATTGGAGCTTTGCAACTACGATCATTTTTTTTGGTACCGTCAACTGCATCGACATTTGGATAGATGACGTTAAGATCGGTCTTATAGATAGGTGCAGATTTTCTTCTTCTATTTCTTCTTTTAGGTTTTCTGTCCTCAAGAAGATGCATAATGTGGGAAGTGCTTTTCTTCAGCATGGGGCCAATTTTTTCCAAAGACAACTGAGAAACAGATCGCTCTTTGAAATCTTTTCGAGACGATAAAACAAACTCTTTTAATCCAATTAAATGATGACGACGGGCAGACACCTCAAGAGATTCATGCATGAGAATGCGATAATTTTCAAGCGAAGACATTTCATCAGTTAAGTTTTCCTCAGGTAAGAGTGATTGACATCGGCGAATACGAAATAGAGCATTTTCTAAAACTTTAACAGAAATCTCGGAGTTGGTTAATGTCTCGGAGTTAATCTCGCTAGTTGATAATATTTCACAGCAGTCTAATATGACGTCTGAGCTACTTTCTCCTATAGCATAAAAAAGACTTTCGATTGGAACTACAGATACAGCATCGGTAAAAAAGTCTTTAATGGATTTCATTTTGATGGAGCTGTGAGTTGTTATTCGTTTTTCGAGTAGAGCACTGAGAAAAGCTAGTTCAATTATTTCGCTGGGACGGTGTTTTGCAAGCTGTTGTTGCCTTTGTGTAACAGAGTATGTCTAGAATTAAAACAATTGAAAAAGTAAAAACAAGCAAATGAAATTTTCTTCTATGGTAAAATAAGATATCAACTAACCGTGGTTTTAGCAGCTACGTGGTCAAACGATGGAAGATATTTTGAATTTTCAAAGTGTGTCTTCACTTGAACCCGCACTTCTTCTTCATAATGAACGTTTTTTTCTTTTATTCTTGTCTGAACATCGGATCCAGAGGATTTAATAACGTCCACTAACATATTTTCACAACAAAATTGTTCACAATAGATCGACAGCTCATATACAAACCACATATCATTTCCGGATACTTTGACAGCAACATCTTCACCAATGTGTTCGAAATGAACGGTAGATACTTTCGGGCTACCTTGATTTTCTGATGAAATATGATTCATATTTGTCTTGAAACGCTTCAGATCTGGAAGACTTTGTAGAAAAGCAATCTCGACTTCATGAACGTATCTCTTAAAACTATGCTGCAAATTGAAAAAAATAATGATCTCATTTAGATAAAAGCAATTATTAAATACTCCTTTCATTTTATGATGACAAATGATTATTATCTCAAATTTATAAATAGTTCAGTCTTTATATACCTTTAGTCATTAATAACGCAAGCAAAATTCTGTCAACAAATATTCAAGGAAAGAAGCTTGGAAGTTATGAATTATGCTGGAAGATACATGTTTTCAGTATAACTGTTCGTCCCGCTTCCTTTTTTTAAGTACTACCGCAGTCTACCGACTTGATAACTTTATTTTAATAATTTTACAATTAAAATAGTCTTGAGAATTATGTATAAACTTTTACTGATTAATTTTGACTCACGTTTATAAAATACTGTTTACGTAAACTCGTGATGCCATCGTTCTCACTTATTCGTAGGTAACCAACAGCTTCGGATGCAGGTAATTTTTGTACTTTCAACTCGTCGATGTCTCCAAAATGTAATATACTCCAAAAATGTCCAAACGATCGAATCCCATCAAGTGTCCAAAAGGACGAGGAAATTCTTCATTGCCAGTGCCCGTTTTGAGCATTGACCACAAATTAGATTTCTACGAAAGATAACAGAAAGCCAAATGTGGACGATAATTGTATAGGCTCGCAAATAAATGAAATTTAAAAAAATATCTATATAGATGGAAGCTATTAAAGAGAACACTGCGAAAACCTTGTGCAAAATTTTGTATAAAGTTTATTTTTGGTAGAATCTTACTTCGTTGGAAACACCGTCTGACGTATGTTTATAGATGACTTGACTTGTTTACGTTTAGTTGACAAGCAGATCAGGTTGAATGCTTTTAGTCAACAATGGCAATAATTGTAAACCTCTTCTGGGATTAATCTGCCTGCCTACAAAACGTAAACAAGGCAAGTCTTCTATTGAAAAAAGCGAATGAAGAAGGTGACTGAATAAATGCCTCCCATGTTGTTTTGCAATAATAACATTATGCGACTTTATGCGTTCCTTTATTATGTTAAGAATATACTCCAGAAAAATTTTGTTGTATCGATCATGTGTTGATAAAACAAGCTCACGTCTATAGTAAATATCACGTTTTATTTCATAAATATAAAACGCAATACGCAGTCACTTCTGTTATTGTTCCTGCTCATGCTTTAACCACTGACTTAATTGCTTACACTTGTGGAAGTCTCAAAAAAAGCATTTAATTGATAGTTTTTCTTCTAAAGTGAAACAAACAACATGATATTCCATGACATAATATTTCAAAACTACAGTCGTTTATTTAAGAATTTTATTTCTCCAACGTGTTGAAGTTGGATTACTTTTTTTTGAGACACCCTGCTTGTGTTGTCTGACCACTCAGTTTGCTGCATAAATTAACCAGCATTTTTGATGAAATTATTGACAGTTCGTCGTCTCCGGTGGGAATGGTCTGTCATTTAACTAATGTAAATTACAAAAAAATACTGCTCATATTTTTTGCAGCAATTTAACTCAAAGTTAATGCAAAAATCTATGTGTTCAGGTGTATATATTCTGTAGATGAAAATTTTGCACTCTACAAAAATTAGCAATTGTACCTTTAGTTCCTCAAAGTTGAAAGACTGCTCAATGATAGTTTTCACAATATTCCACAGCTCCTTCTGAAAAAGACAGTAGTTTTTTCAGTTCATTAAGGATTTCAAGAATTCATACTAGCAGTTCACATAAAAATAAAAAATGTATATTTTATGTGCAAAAACCATCTACAAGTTAGTCCATGAATTTTTTAGTTTTTAGCATTTTGTGACAATAACTTGTGAATAATTTGTAAAAACTGCTTATAAGAGTTTTTTCCAGTTTGTATTCAGCCCACTTACAACACATGGAATAAAAATGAAGTTTACACTAATCACAGCGAAACTTTACCACATTTATTTCAAACCTGAAAGGGTAGATTTATAAACATTATTGAACATATTCATTTAACTAAGACGTATGAATGCACTTAAATAATGTTATCCAATTACCAAAGGCGCCGGTAAGGAAGAGTAAGAAGGAAGCTTCCCACCAATATTTCTCATACTTAGGTTTTTATATGTAGCTTGAACGTGTCGTCATATAAAAGAATGCGTAATGCAGGTAAGTGGCATTTTGGAGGTGTTTTGCATCCCCAAATTAAAATCATCCCGGCACCACTGCAGCCAATTACACATAAATTTGCTATACTAATCCCTTCAAATTCCTTCGCGTTGTACTGAAATCGTTTTTTGGTCTGTTCACAGAAATATTTAAACAAACTTGAGCTGCTTATAAGAAATGTTGACGAAATACTCTTCTTATACCTCCAAATGCGAAGTATTTAACGCTTCAAATAGTTTTGGTATTATATCATCCTTTTGAACGATATGACTGAAACATTCTTTTGCACCAGGTATTGACTCGACATATTTTTTGAACATGCTGTCTGCCATTGGCATAAGACCAAAAGTTATACATTTGTGTAGTATAGTTATTATGCAAATTATTAGTGTTTTGTACGTCATACTACGTATATTATAATTAAGTAAAGATCGGTATATAAGTAACATGACTAAGCAATAAAAAGGAGAAATCTCACAATATTACACCTGGCGACAAAGATTATTAAGGGACGAAGAAATACGACTTGATCCTGAGAAAGATACTACATTTCCAACATGACAGCTTTGCCTAGCTTCCCGACGTACAACCTAGAAGAACCAGACCTTAGAAAAGCTTGGGGAAAATACGTAACAAGATTGGAGAATTTGTTGTTGGCAATGAACATCACAAACGCCGCAAGAAAGAAGGCGATGCTCCTGCACTATGTCGGTGAAGAAGTTAATGAGATATTCGAAACTCTAGAAATTGACGAGCCAGATAGAGAAGAAGATGAATTTAGAAAAGCGGAGAAAGCGTTACGAAATTACTTCACTCCACAGAAGAATATAGAATTCGAAGTTTATAAGTTTCGTCAAGCGAAACAACTCCCAGGAGAAAACATATCCGCATACTACACGAGATTGAAACAATTGGCCAAATCCTGCGAATTTCATGAAGAAAGCAGAGAGATAAAAACTCAGATCATACAAAATGGTTTATCTTCAAAATTACGGAGAAAAGCGTTAGCAGACCCAGAAATAACGATGGAGAAATTAATACAAATGGGAAAAACAATGGAGATGTCAAAAACACAAGCAGAAGGCATCGAAAGCACGAATCGAATTTGGCATAAAAGAAAGCAGTTCAAGACGCCCACGGAAAAAACCTCAAATGCTTCCGAATATTCATCGAAGATCAAATGTAAATTTTGTGCTCGTGAACATCGTCCAGGGAAAACAAATTGCCCGGCATATGGAAAGAAATGTCGACAGTGTTTAAAGTGGAACCATTTTCAAGTTTGTTGCTATGAGAATCGAAGAGGCAAAGAGCTGATGCAAGACAATTATCAAAGTTCTCGCGCTGAATCAACAAAGCGAAACGGACAGATAAAACGTAATCAAGTAAGACCTCGACAAGTGAATACGGTGCAAGAAATAACTTCCGAATCAAGTACGGAAGATGAATATGTATTTTCAACGTTGACCGCGCAACAAAAGCTGCCGAAATTTAAAGTTAAGATCAATGGTACTCCTGTGTCAGTCATGGCAGATACCGGTTCCATCGTAAACCTCTTGGATGAAGTGAATTTTAACAAATTGAAGAAAAAGCCAATATTGCAGGAAGCAAATGAGAAAATCTTTCCTTATGGGTCGAAACAACAACTATCAATTAAAGGAAAATGTCAGTGTGTGGTCGAAATCGATAAACTATATGGGTTGGAGACATTTTTTGTTGTTAATGGGAATACGGGTTGCTTGATAAGCTGGAAAAGTTCTCAAAAATTGGGCCTGGTACAAATAGTTGCATCCATAGAAGGAACTACAAAGTCTAAACAGGAACCCGTTAAAGAAAAGGCACAAGAAAAAGTGAGAGAAGATACCAAAGTGGAAGAGCTAATTAACAAATATCAAGAAATCTTTCAAGGACTGGGAAAATTGAAAGGGTTTCAAGTTCATCTACACGTAGATAAGGACGTACAACCTGTCGCACAACCTCATCGTCGGGTGCCGTTTCATGTGAGAAAAGACTTGGAGAAACAGGTAAAACGAGACGAAGAACGTGGAGTCATAGAGAAAACGGATGGACCAACGCCTTAGGTTTCACCAGTCGTGGTCGTACCAAAACAAAAAGGGGAGGTCCGAGTTTGTATAGATAAGAGACAAGTAAACAAAGCAATAAAGAGAGAACGACACTTGACTCCGACGATCGGTGAAATTATAAGTGATCTAAATGGTGCTGTATGGTTTATCAAATTGGACTTAAATCAAGGCTATAACCAGTTAGAGCTCGATGCAGAATCAAGATATTTGACAACCTTCTCAACACACATTGGTCTACGGAGATTTCGACGTTTGAATTTTGGAATAAACTGTGCTGCAGAGATATTCCAAAATGCCATCAGAGAAACGTTGAATGGACTGAGAGGCGTGATTAATATCAGTGATGACATTATGGTTTTTGGCGTAGACGAGAAAGATCACGATGCAAATTTGAACGCGGTATTACAACGAATTAAAGATCGAGGACTAACTTTTAAGAAGGAGAAATGTCTGTTTAAGAAAAGAAGTTTAATATTCCAAGGGTATGTGTTCTCAGAGAATGATATTGTACCGGATCCCAATAAAGTGAGAGCAATTAAGGAGTGCACAAATCCTAAAGATGTAAGAGAAGTACGAAGTTTGTTAGGCATGACCAATTTTTGCTGTCGATTTATTCCACATTATGCCACAATTACGGAGCCGTTGCGTCGACTTATCAAGAAATATACCCCATTCGTGTGGACAAGAGAACAAGAAGACACAATGAAAGCCCTACGGAAAGCACCAACAGATGGGCCAGAAAGTGAGATTTAGGCTTCTTTTCAGGCTTGTGCTCTATTTCTAGCATATTCTTTAAACTTATAATCTTTTTTCCAATCTGCTCCTTAATTTCGTCGCGAGAAAACCTAAAAATTTCTTCACTAAGTAAAGACTCATCCAGTTTCTCATCTAAATATGAAAGAAACATGTCGCAAGTACTTCCTTGAATGTGCTGTGCGGCTTTAGCATGACTGGAGGCGAAGGAATCTTTCAGAGTTTGCTGAAACGACCCGGCAAAAGACATAATCTTTTCGCGAAGTTCCATTTCGTCACGCCAAATCAATCCAAAACGGTTTTCTTTGATCATTTGCAAAGGTTCATTAAAATCTTTCATTGCTGTGTTAAAGACATCATCAAATACCTCGAGGGCAGCTGCATGAATCTCTAGACTTCAAATCTTCGCCATCACTTGTTTCGCCTTCTTTCATTGTGAAATTATCAACACAATTTCAATTTTGCTATATTTTACCGCACAATGTCTGCCGCAATTTATAGTTTATACTATGGCAAGCCAAACCTGCCAAAAGTGTATCGAGATTTATAAGTCGTATTAGAATTACTATAAGCCTATTCGAGATTCGTAAAGTGGTACTCGAAATTACTATAATGCGGTGTGAAAACTATATTATTATTGTTGAGTTGTGTATGACGAGATTTATATGACGAGTTGTTTTATAAACTGTGACGAGATTTATAGGATGAGTTTTATATGACGAGTTTCATGTGACGAGATTTATAAGACGAGTTTTATATGACGAGTTTCATATGACGAGTTTTATATAACGAGTTTCATATGACGAGATTTATAAGACGAGTTTTATATGACGAGTTTCATATGACGAGATTTATATCGCGAGTTTTCCTCTAACAACATGAAGTATTGAGTTAAAGAACACGTGTTTCTTTCAAAAGCAGTTATTAATTATATGCAAAATTTCGGCGGGCTGGTAACTTTGTATTTTCTATCTATACTGTATCGCTCTCACCAAAATGACAGAAATGAGCAATAGAGAAATTATTCAGGAGCTTCTTGGCAGAGTTACAGAGCTGTCTGAAAGAATATCACCTGACGTGGACAGTTCTGTAAGGTCAGAAGTGAGAACTATATTTGGACGACATACGACCGCTTTAAATTTGCCAAATGCTGAAACGAGACGCCAGAGAGAATTAACGCATCACCCTAATCAAATGACATCAACAGCTACAATAGAGAATCGCCTCCCAATTAGAAGAAATTCAACCACTGCATTTTAATCGAGGCGCTATTTTCCCGCAAGTAGACCTGCTGCAAGAAGCCGAACAAGGCGAACTCGTTCATCAACAGTAATTGATAACAGGCCATTTTTGAGAGATTTAATCCTATTAAGCGGCCCCAAAGATAATGCAGTTCCACGGCAAGGCACTCGGCTGATGTTGGTAGAAAATGGACACATGATTTCAGGTTGTCGGTTTTCAAAAGATTTGTCAGCCGCTGCTGTCGAAACTAATATAATGATGGCCTTTGATGGAAAAATTCCGCATGGTACAGATATAGAACTGTTAACATCAGTACATTTCACTCTGGTTGCGCCAACATTAGCCCCTGGTCAGACATTGCATGGTGTTATCCTCCACAGATTATACGCACAAAAGCCAGTGTATGTACGACCTAGTGTCCAGCTGCTTAACATGGGAAATGCAACAAAGGTTGGAGAATTAGATTGCTACATGCTCATCATGTAAATAGTGTGCTTTTAAAAACTGATATGTTGTTCATTTACAGGAACCAGGCAGCAATTCTAGTGAAGGTAAAATACATAGATTGGGTAAAAGCAAAGGATCTTTCCACATTTGTCATAAGAGGGGATCAAGTGATTGTACACTAAAATAATGTAAAAAGTATTTTTTTAAATTCAAACAAACTTTTTTTACAATTGTTTTTTTGTGACAGTAATATGTCGAGGTATATCATTTTATATTTATAAGGGCGAATAGATGATGCTCATTGAACGGATCTAACAGGTTTTCGTTTTCCATGAATTTAAAGACACCAACGTATAGAGCAGTAAGAACCCGGTTTACTTCTGCCCACAACCGTTCTATCCTTTGGTTATGCACACTTCGCCCGGCAATGAAACTACTTCTATTCTCACCACGACGTGATATCATTAGCCGTGCTACGTCAACGTTTTCGACACCTCGATCTCCACGAACCCTCGAACGCAAACCGAATTCATCAATCCCTTTTTTGAAAAGATCAACTACTGTCTGAGCTCTATTATCAGCGCAGCACTCTAGGTAAATGACTGCCCGACTAAACCCGTCGATGCAACCATGGATAACGAATCGCCAGGATATAAGCTTATGGTTTGAGTCAATATGCCAAAGAAAATTCGGCCCGGGAACGTTATAAACTCGTCTACAAATCGCATACCTCCTTCGCATATTTCTTCCAATAGTATCGATTCTCCGAAGACTTTCTCTAACCCTTTCTCTTTGGACATAGATCTTTCTAGCCCTTAAACTACCCCTGATATAACATTCTCTACTATATGGGGTAAGCCTTAAAATATCTCTTATCTGCCCATCTAAACTATCATCGGTGATGTCTGTAAAGCTAGCCTCAACTCCATATTCAATCCTTCTCCGGTAAATTGTTTGTTCTGATACACCTAGGAAGCTAGCTATACTTTTCCATTTCATTCCGGTATCTCGTAATTGCTCTATCTGTACTTTGGTTATATCAAAACAAGGCCTCCCTCCCTCCCGACTCGTTTCAGCATTTGGCAAATTTAAAGCGGTCGTATGTCGTCCAAATATAGTTCTCACTTCTGACCTTACAGAACTGTCCACGTCAGGTGATATTCTTTCAGACAGCTCTGTAACTCTGCCAAGAAGCTCCTGAATAATTTCTCTATTGCTCATTTCTGTCATTTTGGTGAGAGCGATACAGTATAGATAGAAAATACAAAGTTACCAACCCGCCGAAATTTTGCATATAATTAATAACTGTTTTTGAAAGAAACACGTGTTCTTTAACTCAATACTTCATGTTGTTAGAGGAAAACTCGCGATATAAATCTCGTCATATGAAACTCGTCATATAAAACTCGTCTTATAAATCTCGTCATATGAAACTCGTCATATAAAACTCGTCATATGAAACTCGTCATATAAAACTCGTCTTATAAATCTCGTCATATGAAACTCGTCATATAAAACTCGTCTTATAAATCTCGTCACAGTTTATAAAACAACTCGTCATATAAATCTCGTCATACACAACTCAACAATAATAATATAGTTTTCACACCACATTATAGTAATTTCGAGTACCACTTTACGAATCTCGAATAGGCTTATAGTAATTCTAATACGACTTATAAATCTCGATACACTTTTGGCAGGTTTGGCTTGCCATATTATACAGTGCAATACGATGCAACGACTATAATTAATAAGCCACTGTCACGTAGTTCGCAAAAGCCACTGCCACGTATGTGTGCAAGAATAAATTATATTACAATAAATTATTATGGTATTTCCGTTGTTCACTGTGCAATATTATGCAACAACTGTCGGAACAATGAATTATAAATGATTTGTTTTGTTTCTGCTTTGCTGGCAGGCAGATCAATCCCAGGAGAGATTAAACATTGTTGCTAGTGTTGTCCAAAAGCTCTCGATCAAATCTGCCTGCCAGCAAAACGTAACAAGGCAAGTCATAAATACAGTTTGACTTCAACTTGTTACAAGATAATCTAGCTTCCAACTCCAACAAAAATGTGCATGAATTTACTGAATAAACAAACATAAATTTTCAATATCAGAAAAGACTAGTGTTTTATAAAAATATTTAGTCAAAATCACATTTTTCACATCTTCGTCAGGTTAAACGAATAGAAAACATATTTTAACGGGATAACTCAAAATTTCACACAGCTGCCCAAATGGTTTGCATGACCAGGCAGGAAAACGTTTGCCTTGTTGAAATGAAAATCATTAAATTTTATAAAATCCTCACAAGTAATGCAGAGGTTATACTCCCAGTAATCCACTTTTGCATAATTTGCTTCTATCAGATAATTAATATAGATTGGCCAAAGATATAAATGGGCATTTTAGTAGTTAGTACTACTTACTATGAGTCCTGTTAATGTGTGTATGACATAACATTAGTAGGATACATTGCATTAAATCTACCTTTTGTATAAAATCGATAATTTGTTGGAGATTTAAGTTATTTGGGAAATGTGAAAACAACTAAATGTATATTGAAGACGAGAAATATGATGCTGGGGCACGAGGAATTCCAATGGGCAATTCATTCACAGACTTAATTATCTTTAATGTACTTTCTTTCTGTGCGCTTGCTGTTGTTATATATACTCAAGGAACGCCTCCATCGATCCTAATTTCAGTGAATCGATGTTTAAAAACAGATAAATAAAACAATTTATGACATTTTGTTTCAAATCAAGGAATTTTGGATACAACTTTTGTGCAAAAAATTCTGTGCGAAAAGTTTTAAACTTTTGGTTCAAAAAAAATGCTTTGACCTCCACCTTCTTCAACTGAATTTTTGTCACCATTGTTTCCCTTTGTTGTAAAGTGTCGATGGTTTAAAACTCAAGGCATTCGTGCAAAACTTTGCATTCAAGGAAAGCGAAGGATATTTGATATGTTCCAACGGTTCATTATGCAATGCAAAATGAACAAATCAAAGATGAAAAACCTATTCAAATTGAAAACAAATAGAAACGTGCGTTCTCTGCTAAAAAAAGCCTTTCTTTTCATTAAAATATAATTTAGATATAGAATTTTCATTAACACTTTGAATAAGTTTCGATGGATGAATGTGCTCTCACGTATCAACACTTCTGTTTCATTGAAAAAATCGTCATCTTATTATATTGGAACAATAACACGCGAGTCAAATTTATTTACTATGTAAAGAGTACTATAGTTGCAAATTGTAAATTAAACGCATGTTTCCGTAACAACGATTGTTAGAGGTTACAGATGCTCGATTGTTTGATAAAAAATCTTCATGAATCGATTTCATTTTCTAAAAATTTAAAATGTACAATTTTTCGGTCAACTAATCATAAAGAATTATAATTGGTAGAAAGCAATTGATTTCAAATGAGCCTAATGCATGAATTAAAATATATGATTGTAAATCAATATATGAATGTTGGCCGACACAATTATCGAGGCCACATTGTAACTCGTCTACCTATAGATATGACATGTTCATTTATCTCGTAGTCAACATGAAATAACGTGCAACCTGTGTTAAATGATAGGTTTATAATATGTTCATACTCACTCCTTTTCTTTTGCTTTCTTTCCACTTTTTCTTTGTTTTCTAGTCTTTATCGTTTCCTTGTTTTGCTTTAAAAATAAATGTACTTTCTAAGAAAAACAAATTTCGATAAAAAATATATTTTTTTGGTATGATTGCAATATATTTAAGCTAAATTACCAGACATGGATGTAAAGTGCTGCTTTCTTTGTTCTCGATATATTTTAAAAAAGTCTGTGAGAGATCATGTAGCTCGTACTGATCCTCCAATTTCTCTGCGATCCAACGACCCACATCAAGTTCATCACAAAGACCAACTTTACGCAGCTTTGCTTTCCACTCCTCAGAATTGAGGTAGGAATCGTAGTCAAAGGACAACACTGACAGTTTAAAATCACGTTGATGGCTGCTTTCTGGAAATCCAATTTTCTTTTTGATTGTCTAAATATAAATAAATGTCCACGTCAAGTAAACATCTTCAATTTAACCGGATATTCGCTACATTTCGCAAAGTTAAAATAAGAGGTGAGTACTTGCACACAAATATCTACGTGTGATTTGTAAAAGCGTCAACATATAATAGTTCAGCTTAAAGACCAATTTAAGGAAAATGCAAGCAAATAAATAAGCGAAACGTTTATATTACATAGTTAACAACAAAGAACTTATCTAGTACTTCCACTTCATTTTCCACGCCCGCTTTTATCGTGTCAACGTCACAATTTCCCTTTTTACCCATTAATTCAACGAAAAGTCTGTCACCAAATGTTAAACAAACAAGAACAGGTACGTTTTCTTTCTCGAGTATAGAAAGCCATTGTTTTGATGACTCGGAATGAGCTTTTCTATGATGAAACCAAACAATAAGATTGGTCAATCAAATAAAAAATTTGTTCTTTGACTTAATATTTTACCAAACATTTTTAAGCCACGTTACCTGTAATCAACAACAAATACAACAATCCGAGTCAAACTTAACAATAATTTTGCCAACTCAGGAATTGTCTCATCACGATCATCCACACCAGGAAAATCAATGACATCTAAACCTTTTAAGTGCTTATCCAAGTTGTAAATCAACGGAACGGTGGTTCGCTTCTGATCTGTGGTGCCAGTCACCGTCTACAACACACATATAATTGTTAAGCGGTTTTCTTTACCATAACAAACGTAATGGAACTATTAGTATAGGTAATAGTATAGTTTCCAGTGCAATGACGCATAAACATGCACGAGTGTGTTTTTAAAACTGCAGCGAAATAGGGCGAGTCCAAAGGACGAGTGCTACTTAAGGTCTTTTAAAACTCACGAGTGTATGTTTAGCCGTAATTGTACGAGAAACTATACTATTACTTAATAACAAGATACTTTCAGATATTTCTTGACTGTACCGTCCAACTCTGTCTCGATCGCTTCGTACTCTCTATCGCTTCATAAATGCCTCCTTACGCGGCATAACTGTTAAAAACATTCATTAAAAAAAACAGTGCTTGCTGTTTTATTTCTATTCTTTGCATTCTTTTGTAGCCAATTCTTGAGTTTCAAATGATTGCAATTGTGGAAATCTGTGTTTACTTACAACTGCTGCTACGTTTTTTTTTGAATTGAAAAGAAGTTTCTTTTTGGCTCTCACTACTTTTCAGCCGACCAGTTCGGGAAATTTGCAGTACAACTACACATTTTTAAAGTACAATCACAGATTAATTGCACTGTAATGAACCAATCACAGTCGAAAAATATATCAAAGTATATTATTATAACCACAAACGATTAATAAAACCTATATGAAACTAATATCGCTGAATTAAAGCTCTAAAAAGTATCAAAGGATCCATACATATACACAATTGCACAACAACACTAGTCATTTTTTAATGACCCAATCACATACAAAGATAGTCAAACAAACGAGATAAAATGGATAAATGTTGACCTCAACAACAGTGCTTACCATTACTTCAAACATTGAGTTAACAAGTTTTGATTTTCCAGAGTTTATCAGTCCAACAACACCAATAGAAGTTTGACTGGCTAACGTCTCCCGAAGTTTATTAATCATCAAAGACCATTTAATCCAGCGAGCAACCAGTGGGCGATATTCATTCGGTACAAACGTTAAATTTTCGTTCTCAAAATTAGCGTTCCATTGTTGAAGAATACTTTCTATTGATGTGTAATGAAATATGTTCCTTTTTCTACACTGACGCTCCATCTGGCGTTCGAGAGAGTAACTAATACACTTCTGATTGCAAGTAACCCCTTGTTTCATGCTACCAACAAGAAATTCTAACTTCTCATCGTAGTCAGGAAATTGATACCTTTTGACAGAGGAAATAAACTGGCGAACATCATTAATGCGATGAGAAAATTTTATAAAAAGCTGTTCAAACTCTCCAGATGATTTCATCATACGCTCCAAATAGTTGAAAGGCACTATCAGCAGTCCCCAAACGGATAATCCAAATGAATTAGCATGTTTGGCCAACTCATTCACATAACTATCATTACCAGCTTTTTCGAGAGGAATCTGCACTTGAGATTGCATGAAAGCGCCAAGCAAGCTGCTACAGGTCTTGAATTCACTCCGTAAAAAATTTAAAGTACCCAGCATCTTACTGTTCATGGAAGAGGAAGAAACTCCAGAAGAAAGTGATGATGCATCAGATGTTAATTCTTCGCTTAACTCTTCAATCATTTTTTTCCCTTCAATCAGCAAAGTTATTGGCGACCTAATACACGTGTTTGTTTTTTTTTTGTCTTGGCACTCAGAAGATGGAAAAAGCACCTTAAGATCAGTTTGACAGAGAAGCACTCGTTTTCTTGCAGAATTTCTTTTGCGGCGTCGTTTTGAACGCTTTAGAATTGTAAGAACGCTCGAAATACCTTTGTTGAGTAAAGGATTAACCATTTCCCATGGAACTCGTTCGATAAATACTTGTTTAGGAGAATTATCATTTTGAAACATGTAAAATGGATATCTGAGGTGTGAATGCAAAAGCCTAAAGGTAAAATATTTTTCACCGGAAGTCAAATCAGAAGGAACGCTCTTCATCATAGACTGATTAGAACGCAAATAAAACAATGCATTTTTATAGCATTTTCTGAAAATTCGGAGTCTGCAACTGCCATTGGAATACTTTTGCAATCAGACAGTATTTGGCAGCAATTCAGCATTACATTTAGTTCACTCTCAACAATAGTATAAAAAAGACTTTCAATTGGCACCACAGACACAGCATTTTTCAAAAAGCCTTGGATGGATTTCATTTTAATAGAGCAATTAGCTTTGTGCGTTTTTTCCAGCAGAGCACTTATATACGCCAATTCAATGACTTCGGAAGGACAAAGTTTAGCAAGTTGTTGTTGTCTTCGAGTTATAGAATAGGTCTAAAATTAAATTATTTAATGAAGAGGATTAACTGTGTAATCATTTGTCAAGAGATGAAGACACACACACTCTGGGGTGAAATTTCAACCGAGAAATTATTTCATATGGACCAACACTATATGGTAAAGCTCAATAACGCTATTCTGGTTAAATTGATCAACCAGTATTCCTTGTTAAATTAAACCAATTTTAACTTTTTCTACCGTATTAAGTATGTGCTTCGCGATTTTCAATTTTTCTTCAACCAGTATCCTGCTTAAGTTATTCTGAAATTACCAGGATTTCAACCAAAACCCTGGTCAATTTCGATTTATCATATTTTAGATTCGAATTCATTCAACATATATTTTTCACCAGGATACTTTAATAGCCCGTGCAAATTACTTGACAATTCATGATTTTCACGTACCGTTGTCTTTGCAGGAACAGTAAATGACTCGAGATACTTGGAGTTTTCGAAATGTGTCTTCATCCGAACACATACGTTTTCATCGTAGATGATGGTCTTTTTCTTTATTCTTGTTTGAACTTGAGAACCAGATGATCTAACGAAGTCCACAGGCAAATTTTCACCATCAAAATCAACTTTTGTGACAGACATCTGGTGTACGAACCACATGTCGTTACCAGATACCTTAATGATAACCTCTTCACCGATATTTTCGAAATGAACACCAGATATTTTAGGAATGATTTCATTGGCGTCGATAGTATTGTTGCTTGTCCGTTTGTAACAGGCTAGGTCAGGAAGCTGACCTCTGACAAAAGCCAGTTCAACTTCGTGCACGTACCTTTTAAGGCTATGCTGTCGAAAAAGTAAATCAAAAATTTTCCTTAATGCACTTAAAAGGGCTTTAAGAAATCAAGCCATGACGAGCTGTATTCTTGATTAATTCATTATATTCCTCATTAAACTTTCTAATTGCAAGTGCATGGATGAGTTTGTTATGTTGAATTGCAGCATATTGATAAATCATATGCCCAAATATGCGGCTTAAGCATTATCATAAACTTACGTTACATTAAATTAATGATACGTAACTTACGTTAATAACATATTGCCGATATATGCTCAGAATGCTATCGTAATTGCAGATGGTTAAGTGATCTTTAGCCTTTGATGCAGTCAAAACCTCAAACTTTGATCCATTGGACTTTTTTTGAAGGATATAATAAATTCCAAAAATACTCAAGCGATCGAAGCCAGTTAAATTTCTCAGAACAGGACTTGCACGCTTTGCTTTCTCAACAATCATTTTAAAAAACTTTTTAACATCGGAAAAAGGGTCCTAAAGAATATAACAAATTCAAGTAGTTGGATGAATTTTACACACATTATTACATGCAAATATTGATCCCAGCAAGCGAAACTGAACATATAAAAAGACAAGTTTAAAGATCGCAATGCATTTTGAAAAATTTCCAAACAGTTAGAGACGTATTAAGTGTTGAAAAAAGTTGGGTAAATGGGGTACACTCCTAACTCCTATTTGTTGATGAAATTGTGTCTAACATAAAGTTTTTGAGTCAAACTGAAGAGCTGAGTTTACGTTGAACTGCAACTAGCTACATATAAAATTTTTGTGTTGCTTTTCTCACTGTTGTTACAAACAGAATTGTATAAATAATACGAATCAAATTGCTGATTTGCAAAAACTCAAATTCTCAAAGTTGATTGTTTAGATACAATGATACTTATTTGCAAAGAAACATTTGGGGAGTTTGACTGAATGCGTAAATGCGCAACTTGTATGAGCAAAAAGTAACCATTGGGCATTTTCTTCAAAAACTGAAAATTGTGTGGAAATAAAATCATGAGATATTACCTCTAATTTAAAATATTTTCGTCAAAAAGGAAATGCTTTTTTATCTCACATCCCTTTTGACTTGGTAACAGAAATACTTTCAAAAATGGTAAAAAAATTGTTGACAGAGGTAGTAAAATAAGTCAAATTAGAAACCTAAGTGCCGTTCCACTGAGCTCCACAGCCAACTGCTTTTACTACAGATCTCTTACCATATAGCAGTCCACTAGAAAGCAGTCCACTAGAATTGAAAATGATCATTTATACCTTCGACATCATAAAATTTTTTTATTGTTTTTACAGGGGTGTACAAAAAAAGGGATATAAAATTATTGTCATAGGTTGGTATATAGCTTGTCTTTCTCAGAAAAATGTTATAGAAATGAAGGCTTACTTTTGAAAAATATATGAAATAAAAATGTAATGTTGAGCAACTATATCACTTTAATCACGCAATTAATAATAATCCGGGTATTTCATGGTAAAACACAATCGTTTTCACGTGCGTATCCTTCTGTAAAAATACAGTTGAATAAAAGGTCTTTTAATTCATCGCTGGTGAAATAATCTCTAATGTTTAAGAGAAGTGTGCCTACTACAAACTTTTTTTTTATTTTTGCAATAAAATGTTTTCATAAGCTTTCGTTTCTAAAGATTTTGCACATATCAAAACTTTGACATAAATGTCTAGCCCACTAAATTTTTTTATTTTGATTAGATTTTACATAACCCACAATAATGAATTTCCCTAAAATGTCTCGTTAGCTTTGCCCTAAAAATTATATTCACAGAATAGCAACTATTGGTTATTGCAACGTCTGGATTCTTTAAAATATTGATTAACCTAAAAAATTTTTGCATCCTGATGTTTTGTTTAATGTTTCTATCTGTTAACATTATTTGATTCCACTGAAATGAGACGTTTCCTGAGTTTTTCAATACTAAATGTCCAATCCAAGGAAGTTGGATTAACCTAACCACTCACTTACCGAGAATTGAAGCAGGACTTTGATTTGAGCGTTAAAATTTATAGAAAACTTGACCTGAATATAGACGACTTATGTTTTTTATTGTAATAGAAATTTGGAAAAACTTACATCAAGTGTATCAATAGACTCTTGGATGACACTCTCAACAAAATCCCATAACAGATTCTGTAAAGACAATGCAATTATTCTTTGCAGGTCAACAAATTTATATGATATACATGAATTGTTCGTTATCATTTGCAGACATGCACTTTTATTGCAAGTATTTTATTAAAAAGAAAATGAACATAAATCGATATGCAGGCACACAAAGCAATCAATAATTTTCTGAGCTATTTATTAAGCTAATCAATTATAGATGAGAAAAAAAAGTTAAAAAAGTCATACCTCAAGTTGAGTACCATTAAAAGTGCCAAATAGTTTTGGAATAACATCATCAGCTTGGACAATGTTAGAGAAACAATCCTTTGCTCCGGGTATTGACTCCACATATTGTGTTAAATTACTGTCACCCACAGGTAATAAGCCAAACGTGAGACATTTAAAACGAGATTTTAAATATGATTCATCTTGTTGTTTGAATTCCTCGAGTAGAAAGATCAATACTAAAGATGCAATTGCTCCACCACTGGAATGTCCTATAAATGACAGAATAAAAAAAACATTTCACATAATATTTAAAGAAGCCAAGATTAGCGTTCACCCCCTAATTCAATGGCAAAAACAAAAGCTCAAACTCCCACTTTCTTTGGGCTTCGGGCCCAAAAAAAATAAAGCAAGATGAATAATAGCATGATGCAAAGATTACATAAAGTACAATAAAAGTGGGAAACAACTGTGGGAAAGCATAGTTATTGATACAAAGTGACGTAAAGTATATGGTTTAAATGAATGCAAGGATACCGAGTTCAAAAGTAAAAATGAAGAAAAGGAGAGGGAAAAGACACTGAAGAAAACCTGAATTATGATACACCGAAACAGACTGTCCCAGTATGCTACAAATTCTTTGGATGTAAGAAAAACGATCAGATACTAATCAAGAAGTCTTAAAGACTAGAGAGTTAAGAAAGAAATGGAAAAATACTTTAAGAATTTTTTGAGCAAAAATTGGATTAGAATGGTGAGAACAAGAATAGCTATAAAAAAGCAGACACCTAAAAACAGGAGAATTCAGTTAAAACTGAAAAGCAAACGACAGTATATACATGTTATTTGGATGTAAATATTAGCAATGGATAAAGCATACATCAAGACATGACAAAGCTTTTCAAATATTGGTAGAGCTGGGGTTATAGTCATCATCAATTACAATAATTAAGAAAATAATGATCATTGATGACTCAGGTAATGGATGGGCTTTGCAAAAACATAAAGTAATAGAATAATGATAGTTAGTGTATTGCGATAGCTATCAACTATAAATAGGTGATACTAAGCCAAACCAATAGAGAATCTGATCAAATTGTCAAGAAATGATTTAGGTGGTTCGTGTGTCCGCACAAGTAATAAAAGCTTTTTTGAATTTCAAATCTCACAATTTACCTGAAAAAATGATCCGTTTCTTTTGAAAAAATGCTCTGACGAAATACTTCAAAGGGATTTTCTCAGCTTCTTTTTTCACATCTTAAAACATGTTTTTTAAGAAAATTTTTTCAAAATTTCTCTAGATTATTACAAGTACATTATATGGACAAGATTTAATGTTTTGATCAAAATCAGCAGCAACCATTAGGCAAGTTAGACAAATAACAATGTCAGGGACGAAACTAGAAACGTTCGTTATGTTTTTCATCAAATCACCCATCTGATTACACTTAGCATCGCTCATAAAGAAAATATTTAGCTTTTACTTTATGACTTTATGTCTGGGCATAAGCCCTACGGCTGTTCACTACAAAATCAATTCTTGTGATCAAAAGCAATGCATGGTTTACACGTTTATTCTAACTCCTGCATAAACGACAATTAATTCAAAGCAAAACATCAAAGCGCCTGGGTACGAGGCTGCTACAGGTAAACATGAGACAAAGTAATCTGGATTTTTATTCAAATCTTCTTTTGTTCTTTTTTATGCAATGAAACATGACACCTTGCGTTTAAAATTTCAAAACCATTTCCAGACGCTCACGCCTCACTTCACTTCGCAAAACATTATACTTTGAAATCTGAAAACAAATTTTCATAATTACTTCACTCCCAAACTTACGACCGATCAATTAGCCGAGACAAATACATTATACCCTTGTGATGAGTTCCTTACGCAAAATATTCTCCAGACTTAGTGAGACAAATAACTTAAAAAAGGAATAGTATATATGCTTGAAACTTATTCGAATCAATTTCTCCTCGATGCGTGGTATTCATACCAGTTGGTCTATACGACCGTAGTCCCTTGAAGCTGACATAGATAACATCACCACACTCCGCCATCACATATTTAGGAACATCCTCGTTTTCATAAGAAACATAAACATTGCTAAGTAAATGTTCCTTGTCCAACTCTTCAAGGTCGTTCATTCTATATTCGGGGTCTTTGCAATTGTACGCAAGTTGGCAACATAGTAGGGTATGATGAATGTGGATAGCATCAAACAGGTCTGTTTCAGAAATCATGACTTCAAGGTCAGATTGAGGTTTTGATTCTTCTTTGCATGTTTTCTCAAGTGTCTTCTTCAAAGCTAAAAATCTTTTTATTGAGCTCATCCTTGATTTCGTTGCTAGAAAACTTGAATAATTCTTCGCCAAGAAGAGATTCGTCAAGCTTATTGAATAAATACTCAAGAAACATGTCGCAGATACTCCCTTCAACATGCGTTGCGGCTTCGGCATGATTGGATGCGAGAGAATCTCTTATATTTTGCTTGAAGGACACCGCTAAATTCATGACCTTTTCATGAAGCTCGAATTCTTCACGCCAAATCAGCCCAAATTCGTTTTCTTTGATTTTTTCCAATGGCTTTTCAAGCTTTGTCATTGCTTCGTTGAAGATATTGTCGAATATCTCCAAAACAGCTGGACTTATCTCTGTTAGATCAGAGCTAGAATCCAAGTCACAATCACTATCTTGATCCATTGTTGCCGTTAAAGAATCCAATTATCCAGCCACACTCAAACAATATTAAAAGACCTTCCTTCAGTCTTTTTCTTTTGTTGCGAAGTATCTTCTACGATTTGCTATTCGCAATCAACGAGCAATATACAACAGATTCTAGTCAATTAAAACACAGTACACGTAACCATAAGCACAGCACGTTCTTTTGAATCTTTTCCAAGAAGTACTGCGTAGCAAACTGAAAAATTCATTCCCATGCGCTAACGTATTCCAAATCTTCGATGACATGTATCGACCTCGATCTGTCGATCATATGACTGAAACATTCTTTTCAAGGTGCAGTAGCAACTAGCATGTTTCAAAAGTGATGTCAAACCAAATTTACAAAACAGTTTAAAGCGTGCCTACAAAACTTCCGAAATCACAACATAGTCTTGTCAGTTTTTGCTATAATTTGACTGTCCATTATAATTCCATTGCTCACGCTGTGGTAATAGGATATTCGAATTCCCTTGCTCAAATATAGACACCAAACTGAAATATGATTCCTTGTGCTTCACGTCTCAAGATGTTTGCAAATGCTCGTACCACACACTGCAAAATGCTGAAGGAAACTTAATAACTCTTATCTTTGTATTCCTGCACCAGCAATTAATAGTCAGTGCGATAAAGAATGATCGGACGGTGACTATTTTGTAAAGGCTAGACTCAAACAGGGAAGTAACGAGAAACCTTAATTCCAAATTCCAGTGTTGATTACTTCTCCCAAATCGCAATTAAATGAATTATCCATTGATAAGCCGTTGACATTTCAATTCAGACACTTTAGGCAACATCGTTGTGAATGATTGACGTCAGTCACGTTACCCGTTATTCCCTTGTTGATATTCAATAGTGCAGCTGAAAAATAGCAAACTCATTACAAACATCGTGTAAAGACTTCAAAAACAATAAAAAAGAACAGACGTACAATAAAAGACAATACACCCTTTATTTGGAAACAGTGGTAGGCAGGTTGTGTTAACCAGTTAAAAAATTTTCTGATATTTGTTGCTGCTGTTGCTCTTTAAATATGGACAGAAAATAAACAAAAAAATACACAAAAACAGAAAAAAAGTTTACATAATGGTAGGAAGAAATGTAGCAGGGTTTACATTTCGCCTGACTTTTTACACCCGCTATGCAAATATTTTTGTGTTCACTGACCGCGGGAACAACAGATTTCCAAAGAAATGAATAATGGTAATCTTTTCAGAATTTCCTTTTAGTCTTGCTAAAATATTTGGCTTTTTAAAACTATAGCGTAGAAAAAAATCATAAAAGAAGGCACAAAAATAAGACAAATATGAAACAAAAGTAAAGAAGAACAAGACGACAAATACACAGAAATTTAAGTAGTTCGATAATGGTTTCTTACGTTTAGTGGCAAATTTGTCAATACAGTAAATACATTTGTCGATACTATACTCTCCTGATGTTGCTAAAGAAAACTAAAAAAGTGAAATTTGAATTTGACTAAATGCAAAAAGTAACTAACTGCAAAAAAGGATCCATATATATGAAATATAAATCAAACACGAAAGTAAATACAGCATCAAATGTTGAGGGAGAAGTTGGCACAAGTGATTGTATGTTGTGGTAATTTGCTTGTACTCGTCAGTTATTTCTCTGAGTAATGTAAATTTTAAAATTTAGTAGAAGAACCTGTTGTGTTATGATGATGTAAATACAAACAAGAAAAAAGAAAGTAAATTTAGAGATTTATTTAACTAGACAGATAAATGGATCCATACTAACATGGAGAAGCTAGAATGACGAGCTTGAAAGTGAAGAATGGAAGCAAAACCAGTATGAAAACGGTTAGTATAAATATGAATTTTAAATAAAGCGCAATACCAAACAAATTGAGAAGTTCTCACTCTTTCTACGCATCCATTAAAAATACATCTTCAGTGTTTTTGAATGAACATTTTCTGAATTATTAATAATATAATTAATTTTGATTCACAAAAATTTCTACACAAAATATGGCCAAGCTATTCCACTAAGAAAGCCTCCTTGATGACACCAACAACATTTACTAATCCTAGCTGGAGTCCACGTGCAATAGCAAAAATGATCATTGATAAAACATTCTTTTGCAAGCCACATATAAGAAGAGGAATCATACTGTTCATAAATGTTGTAAACAGTTTATCTTACGCACAAGATCATATTTAAATGAAAATTAGAGAAAAGCCATAGCTACTTCATAATAGTGCATGGCTCGAGCACACATTATTGCAAATGGACTGTGAAGATCCTAGCAAGAATCAAGCTCAGTTTTTCCGTTTCAACTCGCTCAAAGATCACACATTAAACTATACATAACCTGTACTAAATTCATATTTTTCCAGTAATTATACTCATGATGAACAAAGAAGTGGCACAATGTTATAATAACAAATATAACAACTTTTATCTTCAATATAATACATACTGCACAAAATCGGTCATTGGGGCATGGTCCATTATAAGTAATATACCGTAATAACAATTGATTTTAATGCAAACTAAGAAAGTAGAACATGCATATATGAATATAGCCCCTTCCGTAATTATTAACATTGCGCTGTCCATAATTATACCCTTCATTCCTACCATTAAAATCTTTCTCTCTTTATGAAACAGGATTTTTTCACAAAGATTTGAAAACGCAAACCTCATAGTTCCATACTTTTTCGATAAAAAAACTGGCTCATATTCCAAATTTAGGATAAATAATTGCTAATTCTTTGCTGTAGCACGTCAAGAACTCGGTCAAGAACTCATAAAACTGATGAGTGAAGAGATTGCTGTTTCAAACGCACAAAATAAGGAAGAATTCACAAATTTTAGTGTGCATAAAAGTAATAAACAATTGTTGCAACCTCACGAAAAATGAAAGGGTCTTGAATGATTTTTCCAAAGAAAATGCTGCGCCATTGATTATTTACACAAAACGTGATCATGCATTGCCTCTTATTTAGTGAAATTTACAAAGTAAGAAAACAGCAAAACTATTTGAGATGATTATTTATAACGAGTGAAATACACACAACTTGGAGGAACAAAAGTACCTTGAACAAAAATGGCGACAACTAAAAAAACATAGCTTTGAAGCTTCAACTTGTTCAATTCTTTTCATTCTTCTTTGCTATGACTTTATTTTTTATGAACCAGTTTTCCTTCTTAGATGCACTTAAACACGTGGTTACTTAAGATAAAAAATTGAAATCATCAATTATTAGAAAGTTTAGTTTTGTAGCTAAATGTTGAAAACAACAGACAGTAATAAAAAGTTATATAAAGTTATTTAAATAAATTCGCTTTTTCCAAATTAGTTCCTTTAAATGATTACCCTTTTCAATTTAGACACATCATTTTAGATTGAATAATGCACCAACCTTGCACGAGTCTATAGTACTGCTTTTCTTGTTCTCTATGTATTTGAGAAGATTCTGTGAGATTTCGTGTGATTCATATTCATCATCTAATTTCTCCGCAATCCAACGGCCCACGTCAAGTTCATCACAAAGACCAACTCTACGTAGCATTGCTTTCCCCTCGTCAGAATTAAGTTTGGAATCATTGTCAAGAGCAAACACAGCCAGTTTTAAAGTCGTGTTGATGACCGCTTTCTGGTAATCCAATTTTAGTCTTGATGCACTGAATAAAAACAGACAGTGGTAGTTTAAGGGGTCGAACTATGGTCATTTGTGTGATAAATAGTCACTACAAACCAAGGTGTTGTGAGAAATTCACGATTGTAACTTTCATTGTATTCTGCGTACTTATGTTCTCTTAATCGAAGTGAAGGTAAAAACCGTAAAAATAAAACTTCGGTCGAGCAATGCTAAGGTAGAATTCCGCCTTAGGTCCAGTGTGTATTTTTCTTGAGTGCATTACATTAAGACATTTTGTAAAAAGTAAGGTTGTGATCAAAAATTACTGTAGATCTTTCATAAATATATCTTATGCAAACCATACTTCCAATTGACTCTCCACTCTGGCTTTTATTGTCTCCATGCCACAATCACCTCCTTTCCCCATTAATTCAGCAAAGAGTCTATCAGCAAATGTTAGACAAATAAGAACGGGAACATTTTCTTTCTCAAGTATGGAAAGCCATTTTTTCGTTGATTCTGTATGGACTTTCCTAAAACGGCGAGACTTTCATATACTGACATAGAATGCTCACAAGCTCTTACTGCCTTCAGTAATTCAGATAAATTTTTTTACAAAATGTCGATTTCAAGAGTGTAGGTAAGTTGAAAAAAGGTGTGCATAATATCATTCGTCACCAGGAGGCTTTTTATCAGCTTATTAATTCTATGAATCAAACATGTGTTGAGAAGACATCTTATATGACGGGAATCAAAACAATTTACGGAAATATTTTTGGTTGAAAAAAGTATTTCAAGAAAAGCTTTGTCACCTGTAATCGACAACAAATACGACAATCCGAGTCAAACAAAACAGCAATTCAGCAATTTTCGGAATTGACTCATCACGATCATCCACACCAGGAAAATCTATGACATCCAAACCTTTGATGTGTTCATCCAAGTTATAAATCAAAGGAATTGTGGTACGTCTTTCATCAGTTGTTCCACTCGCTGTCTAACGTAGAAAGATCAATTTTATGGATGTTCTCAAAACAAATGTTTCAAAAGATCAATATTATGGGGTATTTTCATGAAGCATATTTTATTTCAGAAAAGTAACAGAAGTTCTTACCTGTACTTCAAACATGGAGCTGACAAACTTTGATTTCCCAGAATTAACCAGTCCCACAACACCGACTGCGCACTGCTTGGCTAAACTCTCTAAGGTAATTGATCATCAATGACCATCTGATCCATCGGGCAATCAGTGGACGGTACTCATATGGCACTAGCGTCAAAGTTTCTTCCTCAAAGTTAGCATTCCATTGTTGAAGAATATTTTCAATTGGAGTGTTGTGAAAAATGTTCCTCTTCTTGCATTGGCGCTCAAGTTGGCGTTCGAGAGAATAACTGATGTAACTCTTGTTGCATGTAACTCCTTTCTTCATGCTACCCACAAGAAAGTTTAACTTTTCGTCGTAGTCAGGAAACTCGAGTTCCTCGGAAGGAAATATGTACTCCCGAAAATCGTTAATGCGACGAGAGAATTCAATGACAATTTTTCCAAACCTTCCAGATGATCTTACCATTTGCTGCAAATAGTTAAACGGCACAATCAACAATGCCCACACAGATAAACCCCTTGAGTTGGCATCATGTCTGGCAAATTCATCAACGTACTTGTCGTTACCAGCTTGCTCGAGAGGGATGTGAACTTGGGATTGCATGAATTCACCAAGTAGAGCATTGCAAGTCTCAAACTCAATAAGCAAGTCATCTAAAACGTTCAGCATCTCGTTATTCGCGTTACAAAAGGAGCTCTCCACATTTAGTTTTTCACTCAGTTGTTGGAGTCTTTCTTTACCATCGATTAGCAATGTGATTGGAGCTTTACTACAACGAATCTTCGTCTTGCTTTCGCCAAACTTATCCGAAGATGGATAAATCACCTGTAGGTCTGTCTCGCATGCAGGAAAAGTTGTTCTTTTTGCACTTCCTCCGAATCTTGGTCGAGGAACGTCTTCATGAAGAAGAGAAACAAGGAGTGCATTAGTCTTATTCAGTAAGTACTTAATATCACCCCATCGCAACATAGGATTGGGTCGTAGTTCCGTATTTTCTTGAGCAAAAAAAATTAATCTGTTCCGTTTCCATGTGGGCGATTTGCATGAAGTCGGTGTTTTATAAAATCGATTAACGAAAAAATTGTATTTCTCTTCAAAAGATACATCGGAAGGCAATGCTTTCATGCATGAAAGTCCATGACGTATGCGAAAAAAGGCAATTTTTAGTGGTTTCATTAAAAAACCAGAGACAGCCAATGTCTTTAGATCGATATTGCCTGCGGAAACTATTTCACAGCAGTCTAACATAACGTTTAAGCTGCTTTCTCCCATAGCATAAAAAAGACTTTCAATTGGCACCACTGATACAGCGTTCTTAAAAAAGTCCTGGATGGATTTCATTCTGACAGATCTATCAGCGTCATGACGTTTTTCCAACAGAGCACTGAGATACGCCAGTTCAATTATCTCGCTGGGACGATGCTTTGCAAGTTGCTGTTGCCTTTTTGTGACTGTGTACGTCTAAAAAGCAATTATGAATTGAAATATAAAGTTAAAAATTGTTTTTTAGGAAATCAACATAACCTTTTTTTACTAACCGTGGTTTTTGCTTTAACCTGGAATGCAGGGAGATGTTTGCTGCATTGAAAATGCGTTCTCAAACGAACGTTAACTTGATCTTCGTGGCAAATGCTCTTTACTTTGATTGTTGTCTGAATTTCTGATCCAGAAGATTTCATAACGTCTACAGGTAGATTCCTACCAGGAAATTCGACATTCTCGATGGATAACTGATACACGAACCACATCTCATTCCCAAATACTTTGATGATGACCTCCTCACCGATATTTTCGAAGCGAACGCCAGTTACTTCGGGGACAATTTTATTTGATGCTGTGGCCCATTTCGTATTTTCTTTGAATGGCTTGAGATCAGGAAGACTTTGAAGCAAAGCCAGCTCAACCTCGTGGATATATCTCTCAAAACTATGCTGAGAATACAAATGTGATACAAATATTAAAATAACAACATAATGACAATTCCCATTTCATGTGGGCACTGCTTGAGTCGTATCATTCGGATATGTATAAAATACACTCAGAGGCTAGAACGTTAATTGGGGGGGGGTGTATTCATCTATTCCGTTTTGCCATACTGATTTCTTTTGAAATTCCATTCACTTTCAAAATAAATCAGTAGGGCACAACGGAATATATGAATAAGCTCCCACCCACCCCCCACCCCCAATTAACGTTCTAGTTTCGCCTCTGAAGACACTTACATTAACGACGTATTGCCGACCTAATTCAGCCAATGAGTGATCAATTATTTTTAGTTGATTGACAGCTTTAGATGCAGGCAAAATTTTATATTTTACATCCTTTAAAGAATTGTCAATAATGCAATATGATCCAAAGATGTCCAAACGGCGGAATGTGATGAAGCTGTTCGCCATCGGATTGGAGTCTTCAAAAAAATCAAGAATCATTTTACCTAAATCCATCCAAATTGCCTAGGAAAAGTAGAAACATTGTGGGTGAAAAGAAAGTATTACAGTCGACATTTCCCGAGCCCATCCTTGCACCTTAGAATGATAGACAGCTAGGCCATAAGAAGAAATTATACATAGATATGGGGATGTAACAAGCGGGGATAGAAGTGAGTGAGGTAGTGGCATGACAACTCCAATTTATGAAAAACGGTCCGTAAAAAATTTTATAAGATTGATGGTCGTCAACGTTTTGAACAAAAGCAAAAAACACTTGTTTAATTCATGCAAGAACGAAAAGATCATATAGAAGTTGGACCAGCAATGTTGTACGGTATAGGGACATCAAGCAAGACAAAAGACCGAAATTTGGGTTAAAGAGATAAAGATGCCAAGACAATTTGACGGGGGAAAAGAAGACACAAGTAATTAAGCTCGATTTTTACCAAAAAACTGAGAACTCATTTTAAGCATAATATCTCGAGACGTATAACGAGACAATTGGGAAAAACAAAAAAAGGGGGGTACGGAGTGGGGGGTTTTATTCATCTGTGTGTGACATGCTACATTAAGTTCCTTTGAATCCCATACAAAAAAATTCAATGGCTGCGCGAAAACATGGTGACGAAAAAAATATTTTATATACCTTTATGCTTTGTTGAATGATTTTCAACGGTTTCTCTGTTATTTTCTTTACTAAATTCCACAGCTCGTTCTAAATGAGATTTATTCAGCAACAAGAATATACCAATTATTTGATAACTGTAAAATATACTTGTATTGCCAATAGTTCGACAAAAAGAAGAGGCGTTTTATTTTTTTACATAATTATTTTCACAATCAAGTCAGTCCTGAGAAACAGTAAACGAAATCTTAAACCGCTAGAGAATGCCAACATAATACTTGTAGTTTACCTCCAAATGTGAACCGTTTAATGCCCCGAATAGCTTTGGAATAAAATCACCCTTTTGAACGATATGATAAAAGCATTTCTTTGCTCCAGGTATTGACTCGACATAATCCTTGAATGTGCTGTCCGCCAATGGCATAAGACCAAACGTAATACATTTGAGGTGATCTTTCAAATACGATTCACCTTGCTCTTTGAATTTTTCCAGCAAAAATATCAGAACTAAAGATGCGATGGCTCCCCCACTTGAGTGCCCTTAATGGGGAATAAGCAAATCACGTGTAATGCATTTTCGCTATATTGAACGTTCGGTGGCGAGTCAGCCCGTCAGTTTTAGTCTTGCTAAGCAAATTTAAGATCATTACCATTGTGCCTGCACAGTGCACAGAGCGGGCCTAATAAGCAGGCTGGTTACGCCATTGGTAAAACAGTATTCTTTTCTAGATGAATGTATGTTACATCAATTTTTCCACGATGCTCTAAATAGTATTTCCATTCTTTTTGTTATGACAAGGAAACAATTTACAACATACATGTATTTGCAAAATGCAGAAATGTGCAACGCTTACGCATGCGTTGCGAATAATTCAAGGTAAAACACAAATAAAAGCCCTTTCTCAAGACAGAATGTATGCCCCGAAGACAAAATTAATGGTCTTTATTTGCACGTATACGTTTCGCATATTTACCTGAAAAAATAATTCGTTTCTGTTGCATGAATGCTCTTGCGAAATACTTCAGAGGGATTTTTTCAGATTCCTTTTTCACATCTTCAAAAAGATAAATATAATATGAGTACATGAAATGCCGTTCACATAAAAAAAACGAAACATTTCATCTTTGCTTCAAGATCATTTGTAAAATATTCGTATAAAGTTACGCCTGCACAAAAGAGTTTTATTCGTCATCTGTTGCTGCACCGATAGAAAACATAATGTCTCGACGGTTTTCTTACCGTCAACAATGATACAGTTAAACTTCAATCACCCTGACTTACATGAATAAATTCCTCCTCGATGGGTATTTTGAATTCTGGGGATTGTATACGACGACAATCCTTTGAAGCTGACGTAGATAACATCACCACACTCCGCCATCACATATTTAGGAACATCCTCGTTTTCATAAGAAACATAAACATTGCTAAGTAAATGTTCCTTGTCCAATTCTTCAAGGTCGTGCATTCTGTATTCGGGGTCTTTACAATTGTACGCGAGATGAACACAAAGTAAAGAATGGTGAATGTGGATAGGATCGAAAAGAGCTGTTTTAGCAATCATGGTTTCGAGATCAGATATAGATTTTGCTTCTTCTTCATTCTTAACTACAAGGGTCTTTTTCAAACTCAGTATATTTTTTTCGATCTGTTTCTTGATTTCGACAAGGGAAGACTTAAACATTTCTTCACCGAAAAGGGACTTGTCCAGCTTAATGTATACATATTCAAGAAACTTGTCGCAGGTACTTCCATTTATGTGCTTTGCAGCTTCCGTATGCCTCAAAGCAAGGGAATCCTTTAAGGTTTGTTGAAACGCCATCGAAAGCGGTTTGACTTTTTGGTTGAGCTCAGTTTCGTTGCTCCAAATGAGCCCAAATTCATTTTCTTTTATCTTTGTCAAAGGCGCGACAAGAGGTTGTATTGCTCTGTTAAATATGTCCTCAAAGATCTTCAGCGCGGTTGGATCAATATCAAGATGAAGGCAAGCATTCAAATCTTTCTCTTCGCAGAGATCACTTTCATCCATTGTGAAACGATTTGAGGAAACTTTTCAAAACGTGCAAAGTCAGAGAAAGCGTTTTTCAGCTGGCAAACGTTTTGCTGTAAGGCAGTAGCTTTTTAGTTAACTCCAACCATGAACACGAAATTTAAGTTTCTGCTTAGCTGGGTATTTTTAATTATTCGAGAAAAGAAAGTTTGATAGGTTTCATGCGTAACGACAATGTGAAGGCGTGCTGTGAAGGAATTCGTCTCCTACTTTCAGTATTAAGATCAAATTTTTCCATTTTGCAGTTTTCACAATTTTCCAAAACAACTCAAATAATAGTCCGTTGCCTGTGGCCTCAAACCATTTACTTTCGTAGTCACCATCACGGTGTTAAATTTTATGAACGATATTCTATAGTTTTCGACATGCTGAATTCGAATTTCTTTGTTCCCACTCACCAAAACGCGCAGTTTTTTAGAACTTTGACGATGAAGATCGCTCCCGTTTTGTTGTTTAGGCGACCTTTTTACATGAAAATAATTAGTATTCATTTGCTTTTATTGGTACGCTCTGACACAACCAGTTTGTTTTATGGACATAGTAAAGCGTTCAGTTGTAAGCTTCTCAAAGTTGTCAAAGCTCTTCGAGAACTTAGAGAATATTTTGTAAGCACTAAAGAACTTCACAAGAGTCTGGAGGAGGTAAAATGTAAGATTTACCACTAAATTTCTGGCATTGGCATTAACATGGCTAGGTACAACTTGCCTCCTAATGAAGATTGTCTGGAGAAACACATCAAACGTGCCAATTACCAAGCAGCAATATGGAAATCGTCACAGTGCCCCGCCAATCAATGTGATAAATATTTACAGCTGTACGTAAATGCACTGCTTGTTGCTCAAAACATAGATGTTCGTGTAAGAAAGCATCCATTTCTTGCACTGAACTCAGTTAATGCCTTTCGTGCTTTAATAAAACAGAAGAATAGGAAACGGATGCGTATGGCGGGGTTTTCATGCAAGAATTACAGACGAAGAATTGTCAAGTGACAATAAAGTAAATGAACAGTGAAAATTAACAAGTACCATCACGATTTCACATCTTTCTCGATTGAACCTTGTCTTCGCATTATAACACCTCTTTATTAAATAATTCGTAAATTGATTTGGCCTGGTAGCAAGCGTCAATATTCTGTCAACTTGTATAATCTTTCTTACAAGAAAATTGTGTTTCGCTTTGTTTACCTCTCTAAATACTGTGAGCCCACGACTCGGCTCAAAATAAGAGCGGTATTGCTATACTTTATGTAAAAAGGTCGCCTAAACAACAAAACGGGAGCGATCTTCATCGTCAAAATTCTAAAAAAACTGCGGGTTTGGTGAGTGGGAACAAAGAAATTCAAATTCAGCATGTCGAAAACTATAGAATACCGTTCATAAAATTTAGCAAAGCGATGGTGGCTACGAAACTATTTCTAAGGACATTTTGAGGCCACAGGCAACGGACTATAAAACTGAATAAGTAAATAAGAGAAACCATAAAAATATACCAAACAAATCCATCAAAATTGAAGATGATGAAAAGTATTAACAAAATTTTAACAGTTGCTTTATTCGTTGGACTATAAATAACTTTCCTGACTTCCCAATGAACTATATACTTCAATGACAACTAATGAAACGCACAGTGCAAAACAAACGAATACCTACTCCACTGTAAACTCAACTGCATGGACGAGCCGGGAAGTTATGAAATAAGAAACAAAAAAATTACTTATTGAATTCGCTTACGGATATTGTCTTGGCAAATTGCAAAGCCATCGATAAATGAAATCAAAAAAGATTGTTTTTGTTTTCTTTAATTTTAATGCTGTTTACCATTCATGGTAAAACTTGATATGCATTTTGCCACTAGTGAGAAAAGTGATATATCCAATCAGAATGCAGATACGACGTTATTCACTAGAGAAGAAAATGATATATCCAATCAGGTCCTCGGAAACTTTAGGCATATGATTTTTATTTCAACGTTTTGTTGCGCATAAATTTCAATACTCGTATGATAAGACACAATATCACACTACACCATCCCACAACGAATGAGTTCTAAAAACAGCATGATATAAACACAAGTAAATTCATTAGCACACGTCTACACCTGTATGCATGAACCAACAAGCAAGAATGGTGAACAAGAAAGTCAAAACTCTTTATTAATACCATAAACAATTCATAAGGTTTTAGCTACTTAATGTGATTTTATGTACACATAGAACTATGCTGTTTTGCCTAAAACACAAATACCATAAATCATCTTTTGATTATACTATAAATACCGAAATTGGCAAGTTCATAAAAATTAGCTGTAGCATGCATACATAGCAGGTGTTGTTCACTAAACGTGTCTTTACTAAATTACCTTTACTAGTCACCACAAACTGCTTTCGTTAGCTACGATCTGACATTTAACATTGTTCACGTGTGGTTAAAAAAAAAGAGTTGACTTTTTTCGTTTGAGCTAAAGCGAGATTTATCATGATATAACTAGAAACAATTCATATATGTGGACAAGTATCAAAAAAACAAAAGAACAAAAAACTACAAAAAATGACAATTTTACAATCAAGCATTATACAAATAATACGCCTACTAAACTTCATTTCTGGGTTTCTTCACAATTTCTTCTTTTTGGTCTTCTCTTGTGCGCTGGAATGAAAATAGGCCAATTTTAACTAAATAAACTGAATCATGAAGAATAGAATTTAAAGAAAAATATACATTATTCGGTGGATTCTTCATAAAAAATAACAAGAGAAAATAAAAATGTAAAAGAAAACAATAAATGATGGTAAAATTTGATCTCTTCAAACTTGTGAAGAAGACCTATTGAATAAATTGGTATAAACGCATTGGCCTTTTATGGCAGCATGCTGCTACAGCAAAGTTAGCAGACCACAGCATTTTCATTATCTACCAACACGGCAACATTGCATGTCTCAGTTAAGGTGAAGTAAACACGATGAGTTTATCGTGGTGCCCTGCGTTAAGCTACATGTTGTTGTTTATATATATGTACAACTCCAATGTGTTACACAAAGAAAGATATTCCAAATAACATTTAAAATTACTTTGCATGAATACGACTTTAACGTGCTGCTTTTCTTTTCCCGTATATATTTGAGGAGATTTTGTGAGAGATCTTGTGATTCGTATTGATTTTCTAATTTCGCTGCAATCCAACGACCCACGTCTAATTCATCACTAAGACCAACTTCACGTAACTTTTCTTTCCCCTCGTCAGAATTGAGTTTGGAATCGTTGTCAAAAGCAAACACAGCTAGTTTAAAGTCACTGTAGGATCGAGATGCATAGAGCTTAGGTTATGCTAATTATTATGCTAATTATTATGAAAAACAAAAAGGGACCCGTATAAAAGCATGGTTCTTGGGGTCTTTTGAGATTGAGCACAATTCATGTATAGTGGTGTATTTTTTGTACATGGATGTTTATATTTAGTGGCCAAATTACGAGGTAACGATGATTACGGCTTTAGGCCTCCTTGTCGGTTATGTTAATATCTATACTCTGTCGTTTAGAACCGTACGTTTGACGCATTGCATTGAAATAAAGATTTATCTGTATACCGGTCGTCGTTTTAATAGTAGTTTATGTACGAGTATCTTGCTGGTCACATAAGCCTGGAATTGTTGAAGCTTATATAGTTCTCGTAATTGTTGTTTAATCGATCAGCAATGACTCAGAAACGAAAGGGTCAAGGTAAAAGTCGAAAATTAAAGGCTTATCAAAACGCGTACTTCAGCCGTCTGGCGAACAGTTAAGTCCTCCAGGTCAAGTGAGTCGAGCTAAATCTGGAGAGAATTCGCTTAACAATACGAATCAAGACATGATTGAATCCGCTGAAGATGACGGTAGCGAGCGAGCTGAAAGCGGACCGAACGTCGTCGTACAAAACAAGCAAGTTGTCGTTTCTGACGAGGCTTCGACGAGTTTGGGTTCGCCGGAGCGAGTAGCAGACGAACAGGAACAGGAGCTTGAACTTGGTCTAAGTCAGGTCGCTTCATTTTTGAAGGATAATTCGGTTTTATCGCCTCTTGCTCCTGTATTCCAGTCCAATTCTAATATCGGTAAACAAGCAGCTTCTCACGTGAACGTCACGCGGACTGCTCGTGCGTGGGAAAAGCCGACGCAAACAACAAATTTTGAAGACAACGGGGCTGGAGTAACGAGCGCGCTTGATTCAAAATGGGCAGAACGGTTTCGTGAACTTGAAGAATTGGAAATTAATAGAAGAGAAGAGCTGAACAAGCAGATGAGGGAGGCAAGGCTTAAACTAGAGAAAGAAATGCATCAGGCGAGAATTGAGCATGAGATGGCTATGAAGAAACGGGAAATACAACGACGTCGAGATGAGCTTCGGAAGCTTGAAGAAGAAGTTTTTGGTAATGATATTGAACATCAACTGTCGGACAGGGAAAGTAGTAGTAACGCTCGTGAACCAGATAAAAACCCAGTCCAGCAACCTTCAACCCCAATCGACAGAAGCAGTTTAAGTCAGCGCTTGGCGATACCTCCTACCGGAAATTGTGTACCCCAAGAAAGTATAATAACCAGTGGAACTGGATGTCAAACTCAGCAAAGCTTGCAACGAGACAATTCGTCGCAGTTACAATATCTATTAGAGAAGCAGCAGATTACGATGGACGAAGTAGTGAAGGGATTAAGAATGCCTCAAAGGGAATACATGAGTTTTGATGGCGAACCTCGCAACTTTCCGTTGTTCATGAAGAATTTTGAAGTGAATGTCGAGAGTAAAGAAAGTAATGATGCAGATCGACTGAATTACCTTATTCAGTATTGTAAAGGAACAGCAAGACAAGCGATAGAGCATTGCATCATTATGCCTCCGGATCAAGGATACAAGCGTGCTAAGGAAATCCTGAGAAAAAACTTTGGTCGAAATCACATCGTAACCCAAGCATTCCTTGAGAAAGTCTTGAATGGACCGCCAATTAGAGTAAACGAAGCCGAGAAATTGTCGCAGCTAGCAAGAGATATGGAAACGTGTCTCCTTGGTTCTATTCAGTTAGGAAATCGGGCAAGTATCAATTCGATGGACACTCTGGGAAGGGTAGTTAGCCGCCTTCCAATGCATCTCAAGTCAAAATGGGCTGATAAAGCAAGCCATATGTACGACAATCACATCACACCAGATTTCTCTCATTTAACTGAATTCATACAATCCCGCGCAGCCGTGGCTAGTACGTACTTTGGTCAAATGATTACCTCGAAAAATGAAACCCGAAAGGATGGAACTGACAGATTGAAGAAGAAATCCTTCTTGTTTAGTGGGAATAGCACAAACTTAGCAACTCACAGCCAGAGAATATTTGACAGTAGTGAATCAAAGGGAAGAAATTTATCCTGCGTACTATGCAAAGGCACACACCATCTTGAACGCTGTCACAAGTTCAGGGCTCAAAATCTTCAGCAACGACAAGACCTAGTAAAGACGCACAAAGTTTGTCATGCTTGCTTGAGCCCAGGACATTTCGTGAAAGACTGCAGAGGTGCCCGCATATGCGGTGTTGAAGGTTGTCAGAGAAGGCACCATCCTTTGTTACACTCATCCGAAATAAAGGCTAAGGATTCTAAATCAAGTGAAAGGAGTAATCCAAATCCTGAACCATCTGAAAGCGACAGCCAATCCAAAGCACTCCCAACGTCTGGAGTTGGCGCGACAAATTCATCATATAGCAGTTGTCGTATAGGTTTGCAAGTTATTCCAGTTAAGGTCAGCGCACCCTATGGTAGTCGTGTGATAGAAACTTATGCGTTCTTAGACAGTGGCTCCAACACAACCATGTGCTTAACCAGTTTAGCTGAAGATCTTGGAGCCGATTGCTCACCCATCGAATTCACGTTAGCGACTGTTTCAGGCAGCCACAAAAGTAAGGGTCAACAGTTATCTCTCGATGTGGTTGGAGTATCCACGGGCAAAGGTGTCAGACTAGATAAAGTTTGGACGACCAACACTCTTCCTGTTGCTCTAGAAAGTATTCCCACGAACACTGATGTAAAGGGTGGTCTCACCTTAAAGGCGTTAATCTAACCGATTTAGTGGATAAGAAAGTCACTATCCTTATTGGAAGTGACGTTCCCGAAGCTCTTTGCCCCCTTGAAGTGCGTTCTGGGAAAAGAAATCAACCCTACGCAATACGGACAATCCTCGGTTGGACGGTGATGGGACCTCTGAAGGAAAACCTTATCAAGAAGCTCAGATGAACTTCATTCATGTTGATCAAGCTCTTGGGTGTATGGAAAGGGAAGATGGTATGAGTTCCATTCGTCAGCAATTGCAAAATCTCTACAATTCAGAGTTTAGCGAGTCGGCTGCTGACGTTAAAGAATGTCTGTCGGTCGAGGATCGTCGCGCAAAGGCAATAATGGATAGAACTGTCAAGCTAGAAAATCATCAATATGAAATTGGTCTTCCTTGGAAATACGATGACCCACTCTCCCGTACAATAAGTCTATGGCTGAAAGGAGACTTGCTTATTTGAAGAAACGACTTGAGAGGGACCCCATACTTCACGCAAATTATAAGGCAACGATGAAGGAATACATCTCAAAAGGGCACGCTAAAGTAGTTCAAGTGGATAAACAAAATACACAGGACGAGTCACTCAAAAAACTGGTTTGGTATCTGCCTCATCACCCTGTGACACACCCGCAAAACCAGAAAAGACAAGAATCGTTTTGACTGTGCTGCGAAGTTCCACAACGCATCCCTAAATAATCAGCTTCTTCAAGGACCAGATTATACCAATTCATTAGTTGGTGTATTGTTGCGGTTCAGGCAGGAAAAGATAGCGGTAATGGCAGATATTGAGAAGATGTTCCATCAGGTGAAGGTTAAGCCAGAAGACTGTAATGCACTGAGATTTCTATGGTGGCCAGAGGGAGATCTATCCAAAGAACCAGTAGAGCATCAAATGACTGTTCATTTATTCGGAGCAACCTCTTCCCCAAGTTGTTGTTCTTACGCGTTAAAAAGAACAGCTTCAGATAATCGGGAAGAATTCAGCAAACAAGTTGTCGACACAGTTGATCGTAACTTTTATGTAGATGACTGTCTCAAGTCTTTACCAGAAAGGAAAGAAGCAATGAAGTTGGTAGACGAACTACCAGTTTTGCTGTCTCGCGGTGGATTCCATCTCACAAAGTGGGTGTCAAATGATCGAGAAGTCTTATCTCACGTACCTAACAAAGAAAGAGCGCCATGCGTCAGCCTTCAGTTGGAGAAGTTGCCGATGGAGAAAGCATTGGGCGTTCAGTGGAATACGGAAAGGGACACGTTGGGATTCCGGGGAAGCAAATTGAAAGCAGAGTCAAGAAGAGGGATTCTATCGTTCATAGCTTCGGTCTACGATCCCCTTGGTCTAGTCGCTCCTGTCGTTTTACCAGCCAAACGCATAATGCAAAACCTGTGTCGAGTAAATCACGGCTGGGACGAAGATCTCCCAATCGAGACAAGCGAAATATGGCATGACTGGCAAAGCGAATTCCATTCCCTTGTGAAATTAGAAATACCTCGATGCTATAAACCGCACGAATTTAACAAGACAAGGAATGCGGAACTCCACTATTTTGCTGACGCATCGACTGAAGGATATGGGTAGCAACGTACCTTCGGCTGGAAGATACCCAAGGAAGGATTCATTGTACCTTAGTTATGGGCAAATCAAGAGTTGCACCTCTTAAAACAGTCACGGTACCCAGATTGGAACTAACCGCTGCAACATTGGCCGTGAAGCTGAATAAACAAATTTGTGATGAGTTGGATCTGTCAATAAGTCAAATTGTTTTCTGGAGCGATTCAATGATAGTGCTGCGTTACATTAAGAGCGAGAACAAAAGGTTTCAAACCTTTGTAGCGAATCGATTACAAGTTATTCACGATGCTTCTACTCCGAATCAATGGAGACATGTGCCAACCAAGCTCAACCCAGCCGACCTTGCATCAAGAGGTATAAGTCTTGGTCGCGCAACAGGCCAAGACCAACGGACTTGCAGTTTTGGTTGAACGGACCCGATTTCCTTTGGAAAGATCCCAAATTATGGCCAACGCAGCTAGATGACATACCAGACGTAGAAGACACAGATGTGGAAGTAAAGAAACCTAAAGCAAGAGTTGGTGCCGTCATCAACTCAAAGGATGCACCCCCTGATTCGCTAATACAACTTATCCATCGAACATCCGAATGGTACAGATTGCAGAAGTCGGTTGCATGGCTGCTAAGATTCAAACAGTACATCTTAAGCCGTTATCCAAACGGTCCAGGATTAGAAGTACAACGTGGTCCTCTAAAGGTAAAAGAGATTGAATCGGCAACCCAGGAAATAATTAAACTTACCCAACGAAGTTCATCTATCAACGAGAAAACTATGAGAGAGAGATACGCTAAACTATGTCCAGTCATCGCCGGAGGAATTGTGAGAGTTGGTGGACGTTTGGATAAATCATCGCTGCCGGAAGAATCTAAACATCCCGCAATTCTTGATTCCAGTCATCACGTTACAAAGCTCATTGTCCGGTATTACCATGCAAAGGAAGGTCACGCTGGAACCAGTCAAACTCTAGCAGCAATACGGCAACGCTTCTGGATAATAAAGGACCTAGCACTGTGAAGAGTATAGTCAATAATTGTGTTCCGTGTCGTCGCCGAAACCAGTCTCCAGGGAAGCAGATAATGGCCCCACTGCCAAAAGCTCGTGTGAAATCTGGTGAGTACCTGTTTTCATCTGTGGGAGTCGATTATTTTGGACCTCTTAAAGTCAAATATAAAAGAGGAACTGAAAACGATATGGCTGTGTATTCACTTGCTTAGCCATAAGGGCCATACATTGAGATTGCACATGACCTATCGACAGATTCCTTCATTCAAGCCGTATGTAGGTTCGTCAGTCGACGCGGACCGCCGAATGAGTTGTTCAGTGACAACGGGACGAATTTTAGAGGAGCGGAATCTGAAGTTAAGCAAATGTTGCAAAATTGGAATCAAGCTAGAATATTAGATCGTCTAAGAGAAAAGGGAATTCAATGGCATTTCTCTGCTCCGAAAGCAAGCCATAGCGGGGGAGTTTGGGAGCGCATGATCAGAACAATCAGGAAGCAAATGCGTGTTATAATAGGAGACCGAGTTGTTGATGATGAAACACTCCTTACAGTAATGTGCGAAGTCGAGAAAATAGTGAATGATCGGCCTCTTGTACGGCAGTGTGATGACCCTCGAGATTTATCAACTCTTACACCAAACACTCTACTCCTGCGTTATCGAAACATAAGCACAAGTGCAAGTTCTTCACCTACGGCAAATAACCCCCGAGAAATATGGAAACAAGCGCAGAAGTTAGCTGACCAATTTTGGGCAAGGTGGTTAAAAGAATACCTGCCAAGTTTGCAAGAACGACAGAAATGGCTACACCCAAAACGAAACTTAATCAAAGGTGATGTCGTTTTGATGGTGATGGAAGATACTCCCAGAGGTGAATGTCTTGCTGGTCACATAAGCCTGGAATTGTTGAAGCTTATAGTCACGCTGATGACTTTTTTCTGACGACCCAATTATGCTTTTGATTCTCTAAATATGAAGCAATCAATTTTCACTTACTTGCGTAAAAAAAGGAAAGAGATCATTTTCCTACCTCCAGTTGACGATGCATTTCACCTCTTATTGTGGTTATATTATTATCACAATTGTCTCCCGATAGTTCGGCAAAAAGTTTGTCAGCAAATGTAAGGCAAACAAGAACAGGAACGTTTTGTTTCTTAAGTATAGAAAGCCATTGTTTTGTTGATTCTGTATGAGCCTTTCTAAAAATGTTATTGAAAAGTTAGTAACGTTGCGTAAGCACCGTGAGAAGAGAGTTTTTATCCAAACACAGCTCTTTAACAGCATCAAAACAATGATACCTGTAATCGACCACAAAAATAACAATCCGAGTTAAACTTAACAACAATTTTGCCATTTCGGGAATTGACTTATCTCTATCATCCACACCAGGAAAATCAATGACGTCCAAACCTTTGATATGCTCATCCAAGTTGTAAATTAACGGAACGGTGGTACGTTTTCGATCGGTTGTCCCACTCACCGTCTGTACAACGTCAATAAGAAATGCATTTGAGCCCATAAACAATGGAACTTTGCTGACTTATATGCATTGCATTACATATACCAGTAATTAGCTTCTAATAATATAGAATTGGTTGCGTTGCCAGGCCGCTTATTTAGTACTGCTATGTATGCATTTTTTATCTCTTCACAGAAATTGACAAAAAAACACACAGCAGTAGAATTAGCATAGTGATCGGGCAGTGAAATTTTAAAATAGGTTAATTTCTGAGGCTTTTCACTTTTCCTGTATATTATATGCTTTAATTCATCGATAATGCTCATGTTCAATCAAAGGTATTTTTTAATGCGGAGATTAGTGAGCCAAAGGTTGACTTGCTAATAATGTACAAGTAGGAGTGGCATAGGAACAGATTTAAATTAGGGTGCTAAAGTCAATGATTAGTTGACATAACCCTTATTCTTTTAAGCTTTAGGGGACTCTGTAGCTATCAAATATCTTGTAAAAACGCAGCACTTGGAGCAAGTTGTGAAATCTTTATTATTTAGTTGTACTTCATAACGATACACATCGTACAAGCAATGCAACAATCAAGTATGTTACAATCAACATTTTAAACAAAACAAAATTTAACTGATAACCAGAACGATTGGGCTCATTGTCAGCATCGTATTCTAGTACAATGTCAGTAGTTATTAGATTTTGGAATGTTAACCTTTATTTTCAGGGTGGGCTAAGCCCCCTCCAATGGCCAACTTTAGGAGGGTTCACCCCCCTCCATTTCCTTCGCCTATGGTCGATTGACGCTTTGAGAAAAAATCCATTTTTTTCTGTCCATCTTATTAATAAATTATTCTACTTGCATCTAGAAATTTAAGAAATTTTAAGGCAGAACTTAAGTTGCCCACTGGAGTCAGGGCTGTAGTCGATAATTGAGGGGGACTCAAATTCATTATAACATGCGTGTGTGATTATGCCCCCATATTATATCGATAGTACTATACAGCCATGACTAGAGAGGGAGAAGATGGGCTCAAAAGCTCTTTCCCCTAGTCTATAGGCAAACTTCGCTCACAAAACTACATTCGCTCACAAAACATCATTGTGCTTCACTTTGCAAATGAAAGTCTTGATTTAAAGCCTCTTCTTTCGTTTTTCTTTTTCCTTATAACATGCGCTACACAAAACTGCCTGCTTTAACGATCAAATAATTTAAAACAACCATAATCTTTCCACTCTTAGCATTATTCTTACGCATTGTTAAATGACTAATGGGAATAGCTTTTCAAAGAAAAAGCGTCGTGAACATACCTTGATGGGGAACATAGAACTGACGAGCTTTGACTTTCCTGAATTAACAAGTCCCACAACACCGATAGCAGTTTGACTGGCCAAAGTCTCTCGAACATTGTTGATCATCAAGGACCATCTGATCCATCGTGCCAATAGTTGCCGATACTCATCTGGCACTAGCATCAAAGTTTCTTCCTCAAAGTTAGCATTCCATTGTTGGAGGATATCGCTAACGGAAGTGTTATGATCAATGTTCCTTTTTTTGCATTGGTCTTGCAGCTGTCGCTCGAGAGAATAACTGATATACCTTTGATTGTATATAACTCCTTCCTTCATGCTACCAACAAGAAATTTTAACTTTTGGTCTTAGTCAGGAAATTGGTACTCTTTGCTTGGAAATACATACTCCAAGCAATTGTCCGCGTGGCGAGTGAATTCGATCACTAATTGACTAAACTTTTTGGACAATCCAGTGATGTTATTCAAATACTTAAATGGTGTAATCAGCAATCCCCACACCGACAGTCCCACTGTATTGCCAATGTTGGCTATTTCGTCCACATATTTATTTTTGTTTTCTTTCATTAGTGGGACTTTTACCTGTGATTGCATGAAGGCGACAAGCAGAGTGCTACATGTTTCAAACTTTCTGCGTAAGCCATTTAAAACCGTAAGCATCTTGTTATTCAAACTGCTGCAGTCACCTTTAGAGGAAGAACCTGAATTCGGATCGCCAATCGGTTCTTCGCTCAACTGTTGGAGCTTTTCTTTTCCATCTATCAATAATGTCATCGGTGCTTGGGGACAACGAAATGTGCCCATTTCACCTTCCACATAAGCACCAGTAGATGGATAAATCATCTGAAGATTAGTTTCACCAACAGGCACAGGGGCATTTTTTATAGTTCTGCCTTCTCTGTTGGAATCAAGAAGATCAACCAAAAGTTTGTAAGTTTTTAATAGAATTTCCTTTCCCTCTAATTGTTGTTGTTCCTTTGCTGTGATTGAGATACCCTCAAAAGAAGTTTGAAATTTTTCAAGTGCTTTAATGGAAACTCTGGATAAATCCAGTGTCCCTGGCTTGATGTCGCTGGCGAGTAATAATTTGCAGCAATCGAAGAACACGTTTTTCTTTTCAACACTTTCTCCAATTGCGCAAAAAAGACTTTCAACTGGTACGACTGATACAGCGTTGATAAAAAATTCCTGGATAGAGGCCATTCTGTCGGACTTGCATGACTCATCTCCC